CATTATTCACTTTCTCTCCTGAAGTGCTGAAATACTTCTATGCACTGTTAAAAATTCCCTGCCTTTCCACTGGGGCAGCTGCATTTCAGTGTTGGAGTGATGTAATAATTCCTTCAAGAGCTTGCAATTGGTTTTCAAAGCTGAACATGCACTCCAGGATCTTTTCAGAGAGGGCTGTAAACAAACATCCAGCATTCCTGCTCTTTCATATGTCATCCCTGGACCATTCCTTAGCAGGTCTAAAAAAATCCCACAGCCATGCCATGACGTACTGCAGAATGATGTAAGGGCAGGGATTTTCATCAGTCAGGAGGGAAGCAGGGAAGTGATAAGAGATTTGAGCTCTTCACCTTAGAAATACAAAAGAACTGTGTTTAAACCAGATTTGACCCATCTGACAGTATCTGTGGAGAAGGGGGAGTTTTATTGGGGGATAAACCCCAAGGTTTGTTGTTTGGTACGTTAGGGAACTCAGGTATGATTAGAAAGGGTCATTGGGAAATGTGACACTTGGAAAAAGAAGTGAATTATCCAGAGACTAGAAATGAGTAACATCCAAGTGGTTTGCACATCAATAGCAGCAGTAGCTCTTCACTTAATAGCCAGGAAAGCAGTAAAAAGATGATATTATTTTGGCCTTGGTTAAGTGATGAGCATGTTATTCAAAGATGCCAAGGGATGAAAACATTTGATTGAGCTAAGAGACGGAATGAATAAGAGCAGGAATAGTCTTCAAAGTTTATTGGTTAAACAACCATCTCAGGCATGAGATAGTGTCAAAAATAAATAGGGTAAAAGACTGATCAGTAAAAAAGCTATGTCTTAGAAGCCAAAATACATAATGTAAAATAAGAATTATTAAAATTCGAAGTGTTCAAGGCCAGGTTGGACACAGCTTGGAGTTACCTGGTCTAATGGAAGGTGTCCCTGCCCATGGCAGGGCATTGGAATGAGATGATCTTTAAATTTCCTTCCAACCAAAACTATTTTATGATTCTATATTTCTATTGAAGATATTAAATACTACAGCAAAAATGTTTGGACATGTGTCCAAAAGGACAAGAAGGAAAACAGCAGGGCCTCTGTACCACTGAAACGGGATAAAAATTGAAAATAACGGCTGAGTGATGATTTTGGCCACGTGGCAGAGGCAGGACACCCTGCTACATTACTGCAGTGTCTGTCTCCATTTTTAAACACCAAAAAATTAATCTGCTTAGGCTTCCATGCAGCTTTGAGATGTGATGTTATGTGGAAAAGTATGAACTAAGCTGGAATTGGCAGCAGGAGCATGAAGTGAACATGAAATTGAACATAAGTTAGTCATAAACTATACTGACAAGAAATAGTGACAGATTCAGTCACTACTGGTGATTCCTGAAATTTCAGTCCTGGGGCTGGTTGTGCTTGGTGTTTTTATCAGGATCCTTGGCATCTCTGTGATGACAACAAGAAATCAGGAGACATCAGTTTAAAATTAAATTATCAGAATGTGAGCAACAGGCTTTCAAAAGAGGAACTATTAAAACCAATAAAATGCTACAGAATTCTCACTTTATGGTCAGTTATTTGGAAATTATTGAGGAAAACTTAGTAAAACCACCTGATCACAAAAGGGCAAAAAATATTTCTGCAAAGCAAGTGCAACCGTGAGCCTGGCATCAACCATGAAAGTTCCACAAGTGATAACAAAGCTTGTAAATTACATCAGTAAGGTATTAACTGTAATATTTTGTGCCAGTCACATTCAGGGTGAAGTCAGACTTGAATCCACCTGCAGAAAGTCCAGAAGTGTGGTAAGAGAAATGAAAATAATGTCTTGTGACAGGAAAATTTTAAGAGCATGTTTTATTTAATCAAGCAGAACAAGAGCTGATGAGAACTTCTCTTTGCCTACAAATCCACCAAGAAAAACTGTGAAAAGAATTGCTTAATTTTACATACTTGCCAGAAGACTGAGTGTAAAACCTGTTACCTCTCTATTTAGGCCAGGATCTACAATATTTCCACTTATTAGAGCACTGAAGCGTAATCTTTAAATTAGAAATTCTGGTGGCAAGAAAATGATCTACTTTTAGGAAGATACTTGCTCAGCTGAAGAAAGAAATCATGAGGTTTCTTCCAGCCTTCTCTTAGCAGTTCTGCTCTTTGCAGATCCTGGTGGCTCTATTTCCTCAAAGGCAGCAAAAGAGGAGAATTCCCAGATTCAGCACAGGCCTAGGTCTCTTCCAGGAGATGCATCTGTGAAATGTTTGAGAATTTTACAGAGGAAGCCTTTGAGGGCTGACAGGAAATCATGGGTTAAGGATTCTCTATGAGAGGCATGACACTGAATTCCAGATGGGATGAAGCCATACAGCTTAGTGTAAACAAATGGTTATGATTCCTGTCAAGATCAATTTTTCATCTCCATAAAGCCCAGTTTAATAACATGGCACAGGCACCACTGAAAAACGGGAATATCAGCTTTCCAACAATTTCCCAAAATTGAAATAGAATCTGTTTTGGCAAAAACAGTACAGTTGTCCACCAAGAAAAACATTTTAGGTAGGTAGTTATGTAAGCAGTAAAAATAAATGTTTTATAAAATGCACCCACAAGGACTTAGAAGTATTAAAAAAAGCCCCCAATAATAATTAACCAGATTTCATGAAGTATGAAACAGCCAAAAATAATAAGCAGTACAGCTGAAGGAGGTGAAGTCATTTCTCCTACTGCACTCCAAAGCTTGACCACCTGGAGAGATTAAAAAAATATATCCAAAGAATTAATTTTCCTAATATGGGCACAGTGCAAAATTCTGTCTCTTAACATGACTTCATTTGGCCAAAGGAATGGAATTTTATGGAAGCCTAATATGTTTTACAAGTACTTGTTTCTCTGGCACAGCAGCAAATCTTTGGGAAGGCAGATGAAATGAAGGAGCATCTACTAGATTTCCTTTGGAGCCAAAAGAAGCTGGTATTGTCTCCTGAAGAGAAAGTATCATTTTAAATTAAAAGGTAATATTAGTACAAGGTCAAGTCCATGAATAAATTTACTCTGGAAACAGGAATTTTCTGAACTTTTGAATTCCTACGATTGTGTTCTTTAGATAGTGGAGCAAGAAGACTATTTTAAGGTAAAGCTTGGTGGTTTCATTTCCATGACAGGACAAAAACAATCCTTGAGTCAAAACCTCATCTTTGGATCTGTGAATATTAATCTGTGGATATCTAATTGCACTGAACTTTGTTAACATCACCTTTTTCCTTCATTGACCTAGAGAGTCACCTCACACAGAATTTTAGTGTTTAAGGCACTGATAATCCAACAGAGACATTTAATGGGAATTAGAATCTGTTCAGCTCTTTCTTCTGCTTTTGATCAGAATGTCTTTGGGTTTCATTGAGAAAATCATTAACCCAATCTGTGGCCTGAAATTTTTCCTCAATCCTTAATTATTTCCTCCAGCTCTGGGGTCTCAGCACGGGAAAGACCTGGAGCTGTTGGAGAGAGTCCAGAGGAGACACCAGGATGATCAGAGGGATGGAGCAGCTCTGCGGGGAGGAAAGACTGAGAGAATTGGGATTGTTCAGCCTGGAAAAGGCTTCAGGATGAGCTAATTGCAGCCTTCCAGTAACTGAAGGGAGCCTGCAAGGAAAATTGAGAGAGACTATTTGCAAGGGCTGGAGTGGCAGCATAGTGAGGAACAGCTTCAAATGGATGGAGAGTACTTTAGATGGATTAGGAAGAAATTATTTTACTGAGTGAGGGTGGGGACAGGGTGCCCAGAGAAGCTGTGGCTGCCCTGGATCCCTGACAGAGTCCAAGACCAGGTTGGACAGGGCTTGGAGCCACCTGGGATAGTGGAAGGTGTCTGACCATGGCAGCGGTGGAATGAGATGAGCTTAGAGGTCCCTTCCAACCCAAACCAATCTGTGTTTCTGTGACTCTGAAGTTCAGATGCTTGGTACATAAGGATGCTGTCTAGTGTTGCTGGCTGTCAATCACTTGTTTTTAAAATTTTAAAAGTTTAATAGTATTACTGTAATTATATTACAATAGTAATATAATTACAGTAATAGTAATTTGGACAATTTGGATTACGACCATATGAGACAATAAAAAACAAAGCCTTACGGACAGTCCGGGTACCTCTTCTGGGCAAAATAAGCCCGAAAAAGGACACACATTAACAGAGGATTAACCCTTAAAAACAATAGCCTGTTACATATTCATACATGATGTATAAATTCCATTCAAACAAAGGATTCTGTCTGGTCATCATCAACTTCTTCCTCTTAATCCTAACGGCGTCTTCAGGGCTGAGTGAGGCAGGAAGAAATTAGTTTCTTCTGATAATGGGGCAATAAATTGTCTTTCTCTGAAAGATTTAGGTGTCCTGTGGCTGCTATCTTGGTGTGAGTCCTTTCTTTAGCAAAAAATATCTTACATAGCACCGTTTCTATTTTAACATTATGCTATAACCTAAAACTATATTTAGCAAACTACTTAAGAAAATTAATACAGCATAACTTTCCAACATAATACATATAATATTTGCGAAAAGCCAATCATAAACCACACATTTTTCACACTGGCTAAGAATCACAGAAATATAGTCCTTTTATTATTAGAAAACAGAGCGGTTTTGGATGTCAATATCAAGGTTTCCCCCGCGCGTTTCAGAAACTTCCTCAGCAGCTCTTTCCTTCGGGTTTGTGCTGACTCCCTGTGGTCGTTTTGGCCATGGAAACACCATTGGTGAAGCCGGCACGGAAATCGGGAGCAGGAATAGGAGCAGGAGCAGGAGCAGGAGCAGCACCGCCGCTCCCTCTCCGCCCTCAGGGACACCGGCGGCGGGGACACCAAACACACCGATGGTGCTCAGTGTTGCACAGAGGCCATCACATCCCACCGCACCCGCTGCAATTCCGGGTCCAGCACATCCCAGCCTCCCCGAGGGGTTGCGGACGCTCCCGCCCCGTTCCTCCCCTCGTCCCGCCCCTTCCCCCGGATGCGGGCCGGGATGGCGCTGCCCACCCCTCGCTACGAGCACCTGGGCCCCGGGGGGCCCTTTCGGGACGTGTACGAGCCGGCCGAGGACACCTTCCTGCTGCTCGATGCGCTGGAGCGGGACGCGGGCAGCCTGCGGGAGGCTCGGTGCGGCTGGGCGGGCAGGGGAGCCGGGAGGGGCGGGCTGAGGGGGCATTGCTGGCACAGGGGTGTTAAAGCCATTGGAGAGCTCCAGAGGGGCTGCGGAGATGGGGAAGGGCCAGGAGGGGTGAGCTGAGGGGAGATTGCTGGCACAGGAGCCACGAGAGAGCCTCAGAGGGGCTGCGGAGGTGGGGAAGGGCTGGCAGAGGAGCCGGGAGGAGCGAGCTGAGGGGACATTGCTGGCACAGGGGTGCTAATGCCATGAGAGAGCTCCAGAGGGGCTGCGGAGCCGGGAGAGGTGAGCGGAGAGGGGATTTCTGGCACAGGGGTGTTAAAGCTGTGAGGGAGTTCCAGAGGGGCTGAGGAGATGGGGAAGGGCTGAGGGCACTTGGCTTCCTCAGCCTGGAGAAGAGGGAACCTCGTCACTCTCTGCCGCTTTCTCATGGGAGGCAGCAGAGGAGTCAGCACTGGTCCTGCTCGGTGTGAGCTGAGGGGATGGCCTGAAGCTGTGTCGGGATATCAGGAAAAGGTTCTTCTCCCAGAGGCTGGGAGTGGGGCACTGGAGAAAGCTCCCCAGGGAATGGTCACAGCACCATCCTGACAGAGCTCAGAAAGTTTTTGGACAACGCTCCCAGGGATGCACAGGGTTGGATTGTTGGGGTGTCTGTGCAGGGCCAGGGGTTGAACTGGATGATCCTTGGGGGTCCATTCCAGCTCAGGATATTCTGTGATTCTGTACTTCTGTCCTTTAGGAGGACAGCATATTCTATAATGCTGTCTGGACCAATCCTGTGTCTGTTACAAACAAAAGTCATCCAGAGTGTTCTCTCTTTAGAGTCGAGATCTGCCTTGAAATAGGATCTGGATCTGGTGTGGTTTCAACATTTCTGGCTTCTTCCATCCTTGGACCCAGTGCACTGTACATGTAAGTATAACAGCACCTAAACTGCTGCATGCAATGATAAAGGGTGCTTAGCTCAGGATGCTTTAGCCCTCTCATACGTATTTATCATTTTTGCATTTTAAAAACTATTCTTTTCTCAATTCTATAGATACATAAAGCAAAGAGAGCCTGTTGAGCATTTCTGAGCTTATGGTGCAGCCTGAATGATTTACTTCAGGTTCTGTAACAAATGAGTAGTGCTGTGACTAGAAACCCGTTTTCCCATTTCTCAGACAAATTGCTAAGCCTACACTTGTGTTGGCTGGGTTTAATCCTTGTGGGTCCCTTTTAATTCAGAATATTCTGTGATTCTATAAACTAGCTTGTGGTTCATAGGGTTAAACTTCCAGGTACAGTAGCCCATAATTTACACTTTGTAATATTTCCCTTTTAGATGCACAGATATCAACCCCATGGCAGCTTACTGTACCCAGGAGACAGCTCTCCTTAACAATGTCCACCTGCAGCCTGTCATCACTGACTTGGTAAGAGAGAGGTTTCAATAGTGTCTCTTTCATAGTTTGTGTATTTTTTTAATACTTACTGCAGATCATGGAGTCACACAATAGTTAGGGTTGGAAAGGACCTCTGGACATCACCCCCTGCCAAAAAACCCCCAACCAACTACTCAAGCTCTAAAATTCAAAATTAAGCTCTAAAATTCACTGTATTAATTAAATAAATCTGTAGATATAGTTTGGAAAGTGCTGGACAAGAAATTTTATAGTGGCCTGACATTATCATAGCCCTTTGTGTAAAGTTATGCAGTTCTTGGTTTTCAGCCTTTTCTGATTTGTGTCTGCTTTTGCCTTTAGTTTCTTACAAAATTTGATATGGAGAAAAGCTAATTTTTCTCATCTCTTTAACTCTTTTATGTTTATAAAAGATGATGTATAGGCCACAATAATTGGGATTTAAAATGGCTGAACAACTACACTATGTAACTATATGTTTACAAAACATTCGTATTATTCATGTTCCCTAAAAGAAACCCCACATAATCATCAACTTCACCTACAGGTCAAAGGATTATCCCCAAGATTAAATGGGAAGGTTGATCTACTGCTGTTTAACCCACCATATGTGGTAACACCTTCTGAAGAGGTAGGAAAATTTTGAAATACTCTTTAAAAATTGCTACTGTCTGTGGTTGTGACAGTTCTGTCATTCTGTTTTATGACAATCTTTGCTTTCCTTCTTCCTAGGTGAAAAGCTGTGGAATAGAGGCATCCTGGGCTGGGGGCAAACAGGGCAGAGAAGTAATGGATAGAGTTTTCCCACTAGTACCAGACCTGCTTTCACCAGGAGGATTATTCTACTTGGTCACAATTAAAGAAAACAATCCAGGTGATCACTGTCCTTGGACATTCAAATGGGCCAAACCAGGTTTAATGTGGTATAAATCAAAATGTTGATCACAGCTCGACCAAAAATGCAAGCAAATTTATCAAAACTGAGAACTCCCCAAGCTAGTTTGGAAAGTGGTGTGGGACCCCAGCAGCTCTGCAGGAGTTCAGTTCCAATTTTGAAAGGTGGATTAATTAAGTCTGAATCAGTTAATGATGCCAGACCAGTTCTTTCTTATGGAAGAGAATGGTGGTGTTAACCAAAAAGGCTTAGTGTGAAATGTGATGTCTTTCATTTTACAGATGTAGAGAAAAGATTTGGACTTGTTCCTTCTGATCTAATGCTTGATGGCCACAAATGATCATGTAATGTCAGGATTATTCTTTCCACCTGATTTATTAGGCAGCTTTTCTGAGAAGGTACTACAAATTTCACTTCCTCTTACAGTTTAGCTTCATACAGAATTCTAGAAAAACACTGAACTTGTTTGTAAACTGTGAGCTGTATTTGTGCTTGGTGGGAGATTATTTTCCATAAAAGTTCCTGTCTGAAAGAGTAGGAGGACAGAGTTTGTAAACTTTGCTTAACAACTTGGCAGATATTTTAGAATTAATCTTCTATAACCAATTTCAACTCATTTGTAAACACTGCACTTTCCATTGCAGATGAAATTTTGGAAACAATGAAGAAAAGTGGCTTAAAAGGCACACAAGTACTTTCCAGGCAAGCAGGACAAGAGATGCTGACAATCCTCAGATTCAGGAAATCTTGATAACTTCTCTTCACCTGCCAGGTAGTAGGCATGAAGAAAATGAAAAAAACTCTGAACACAGAGTTGTCAGCTGGTAAACACTGAAGTGAATGCAATCTGCCCTTTGCTAATGGCAGGCACTTACTCATTACAAGCAAAACATCAAGAAAGAAATGAACCCAAAAAGTGAACTAGGGAACAAAATATCAATGGGTTCATGATGATCTAATATCCTCTGACAATACCAATGCCACACACCAGAGAGTCTGACTTCTACAAGCCATGCACACGTATCACTTTTAATTTGTAGTCTTCAGTTGTCATTGGTCAGAACCAGGATCATTTTACACCATCAGCATTCACAACAAACTGCAAGCAGCAGTGTTAATACACGTATCACTTTTAATTTGTAGCCTTCAGTTGTCATCAGCATTCACAACAAACTGCAAGCAGCAGTGTTAAGATATCCTTCTGTTGGCTTATAAAGTTCTTTCCTCTCCCAGGATCAGCGTTCTCAGCACGGATCACTTTGGCCTTGATTAAGGACCAGTCTTCCATGTCCCTCTGACCTTCAGAGATGAAGAAAGAGCCTGGTTAAAATACAGAGATGCTCAGAGTTCAGCACAAAAGCATTTGGAGGAAGTTTGGATCAGTGCACAGATGGAAATACAGTGGCACTTTATACAGTGCAAAATGTGAAGGCAGAGCTAGGAGTTGTTTCACTTGTTCTCACACAGCTGTCAGATACTTTTAATACTCAGGGTACTGAACTTCTCATCTCTTCCAACATGTGAGGATGTTCCAGCAGCAGATAAGGAGGATTGTCCAATTCTTCAGTCCCTTGTAATGAGCACAACAGTTCTGCAGCTCATTCAACACCTTCCCCAAGCTTCAGAGATGGCTTCTCAAGGAATGATGGAAAATTTTATTTTAGTAACTGTACGTATTTATATTGCCATTGGGATTTTTTGAGGAATGCAGTTTTGCAAATAGAAATTGAGTTTTAGTCCTTTTCACTTTTTTCTCCCCATTTTAAAGAAACACTAATGTAGTTTTTCTGGTGTACACTGGAGGGTGTTTTTGGGGCTCTCATTGTTTTGTCTGTGGATACAAAGCTTAAATAAGTTGGCTTCAACTCCCAGCTTACTTTTGACCAAAATAAAAACCAAACAAGGGGTAAGAGGTAAGATGGAAATGAATTAAAAAAAAATCCATCGTGGATCTGTAGAGACTGACTTGCAAGACTTTTGTTTGTGTAATGCTCCTATAAATATTATTTTGATATTTGTAGTAATTTGTGTCATTGTAGCAGTGCTTTGTCATAGGGGGCTACTGGAGTGTAGTCCTCACATCAGTCCAAATTAGCAGAGCCTCTTACTCAAAAACTTCTGGAATTGAAAGTGGGATGATAATTAGATATGGTTAAGCTAAATAATTGCAGCTACACTGTCAAGTTAAGGATAATTTGACTGCAGACTGGACCTAGAGCTTGTAGGATTTCCAGATTTCAAGCTCAGGGTTGGGTGCCACCAAAACCTTTGGCCATGGTTCAAAGTAGTTTGTCCTCAGGTGCTGGAGTTTTTATCTAGCCAGTTACTGAATATTTCCCAGTGATTATCATTATCATCCTCTTCAGTTATATTAGGAGGCTCTGCTATGGTAATAAAATGACTCATTATCTCCAGGGTGCACTGAGCACTGCTTTGGCTTCTCTTCTCCACCTGTAATGTTTAATAGCTACAGACAGGTTTAATTATGAGGCCACATCTTACTGTAAACTTGATAATTGCTCTGAGCCAGCATTTCCTGAGGAATCTACAGGAATATCCTTTTTATCAACATGACTGGAGAAACCTTTGTTGTCTGGGCATTGGGAAGAAAAAGTGATCCTGAGGGTTTAAAAAACATCTCCCCTTCTGTGGCTCCTGCCTCCCCGCACAGAGTAATGAACAAAGCTGCAATTTGTTTTTTGAAAGATGCTCCTGTACACGAGGCTTTGATTTTACAAGAAACAAGATAGCAGAGAGGAGGGATGCAAAGCAGGATTTTAAACTGCTTCAGTGCTTCTGCATGACTTCAACATCAGTCAATTAAGAAGTTGAAAAAACTCATTATTTACACAACAATCTGCACTGTAAGGGATGATTGTTTCTGCTGCTTGTTCTCAGCATCTTCATAAGGACAAGTAATTTGGATTTTGTGTGTTTCTTTCTCATCATGTCCTTTTTTTCCCCTAAATATTTTTAAGACATTGAAGCACTTAGCTGAACCTCCCCAAAAACGTTGCCCATGCAAAGTTTCTTCATAAAGTTAGAACCAAATTGAAAGCAAACAGGCATTTTGTATATAGCAATTGTCACCTCTGGTTATGATGGAAATGCTTACCAAAGTCTAAATTATCAGGATTTTTTCCCAGAGTAATATTTTTGAAAAAAATAATGGGACAAGTTTCTGAAATGTTATGTTTGGGTTTCTTTTTTCTGTTGAAAATTTTGTGAGGAGCTGAAAAAGCCTGACAGAAACTCCAATCCAGCCTAAATGGAAAATATTTATGGAAAAAACTCCTTGAGTGTTACTGCACACACAGCAGGGCTCCACTTGAACCAAAACTCTCCTACCACAAATTGCATTTTTGTGCACTGAAGACACCTGGTGGTTGCATCCACAGCCAGCTCTGACAGAAAACTTGGATATCCAGGGAAGTTTTTCTCTTGTTGAGACTTAATTACCACCTTGAGCCATTCTGTTTTTATGGTATTATTAAGATACAAATGAGATATTTTTGATCTCCAAATGGTAATTCAGATTTTTAAATTTTGTTTTTTAACAAAATTCAATTTGAGACACTGCAAGAGTCTAGTTTTGCTTTAAAAGCATGTTTCAAGGGATAGTAAATAATAAGTAAATGTAAAATAAGTATTTGTCAAAGTAAGGAATGAGAGTCCTAATCCTAAATTGTATAATTAGGAAAGGGAGATGGCAGGAAAAGATGTCACCAGATGGGTACTGATTTGCACTGTCTGTAGTAACTCAGTAACTTCTTTGCTGAATCCTAAGAGATGTCAGGAGTTTAAAAACCCTCAGTGCAATTGAATTCAAAGAACTAATTCAATTTAAACTCAACTAGCACAGTTCTTTGTGTTGAATATGATTATTTTGGAGGAAGAGGCTCCAAAAATATGGGGTGAAATTCAGATCTGAGGATTGCTATAAACAGAAATGTTCTTTACCTGATTCAGTCCCCTTTGTCATGGCTGTTGCTACTTCACTGAAGGCAAGTGAAAAGAAAAACCCAACCATATTCTATGCAATGTTCTTTCTGTCCCACCCCAGTTTTTCTTCTGACAAGACCAACGTTCTATTTTGGGGCTGTATTTTTCCTGTTTGCAGGAAACCACAGAGCGAGACACAGCGTTCTGAGAGTGGGCTCCAGGAAGTCTGCTGAAAATTACCTTTTAACACTGCATGAAGGAGGTTTTAGTGCCTTAAAGGAGCAGCAATATTCCAGTGTCCCATCAGCTCCGTGCCTGTCACTGGTGATCACAGAGCTCGGGATTTACTGCTGCACCAGCCAAGGTAGCCCCTGTAGTTTTACTCCTCTAATTCCCTGTTAGAGGAGGGGTCAGCTCTTTCATTTTGATGCAAGTCCTTCACAACATGAGATTCTTTGCATCCCCCCACTTTTCCCTCAGCAGTTTCAGTTTCTGAGGTAAGCTGAGCCTTGTTAAACCAAAGCACACATCTTGAGCCAGGTTCTGAATTGTTGGCTGAGCTTGGGTGCTCTCACAAGGGGGCTCAGTTCATTCTGTCCAGAGCTGGTTAAAGCTTCACTGGGGGTTTTGTTGTCTGTAAAACACTTCCCTAAGTGCAACCATGGGTATTGTAGCTGTTGGATTTGTCTTGGGGTAATGACAGCCTTCAGAAATAAGGGTAGGGAGGAAGCAATTTAAACCTAATTATAGAAGAATTGAGGTGAGAAGGTGTCAGTTACTGCAGTGAAATCCAATGCTGAATTGGAGCTATTTTGTACACTGGAGGACAGATTGAAAAACCACTTGAGGCAAACCAATATATGAACCCCTCCTAAAAACCTCTAAAGTCCCTAAATACTTTTCTGTCAGCTCTGAACAGAGCTACTGAACAGTATTTTCACCTGAGCTGCAGTAGCTCTCTGTATTCCAACCCTCACCCTGCACTTTCTGTTTCTACCTGAGATGTGCTTGTAGATATGAAAGAGGTGGCCACACAAGCTACAAATTCCAAACCCCTTGTAAAAAAGTGGTGGGATGAGGAAAAAAAGTAAAAGCAAAATTGTCAGAGATTGACTCTCCTTCAGCCTATGTAAATAACAAATGTCAGACCTAATTATCAATATCACTGATTTGAAAGCTGTGTGTACTTAATCCTACTGCATCCAGGATATGGATTGAACTGCCTTGATTCAGTCAAAAAGGTAAAATGGTACCATCAGAATTTAGCATGGCCTAATTACTAAACTTTAAATATTTGTTTCACCTGGTTCTGCATCAGCTTCCACAGAAATCCTGACTGATACATTGATTTTTGCAAGCATTTTCCTACATGAATTGTCCACACAAAAAAATTTATAAAGGGTATGTTTATTTCTATTCTGCTTTTCCATTTCACAACAAAAAGCACTTGATCTTAATGTGCTGTGACCTGGAAATGACTGAAAATGAGAAAATAATGGTTCATAAATTCATCAGTCAAGAGGTTGCCTGAATTTATCATTGATCCATCCTCAGATGTCAAGACAAGTCAGAATTCAGGAAAAGAAATGTGTAAACAATCGAACCCACACTTGATGATAATTTTTGATGGGTTGATGTTATTTGCTCAATTTTCATGAAGTCCCCAAGGGAGAGGGATCAAACTGTGACCTTTTTGGATTCTTCCACATTGCAGAAGCCCTTCCTGAAAAGATCTGAGGCCTTGGGTAGCTGCAAGATCCTGTACCTACAAATGGTTTACTGCAGTGTCAAAATGCACAACAATTATTCCACCTGGTATTCACTTGGAGCAGAAGGCATCATTAGGGAATTTCTGTCACCATGAAGAAAATCAGGAATTGACAGGAAGCAAGAGGTTTTGTATAACCAGTCCTGAAACAGAATTCAGTGTCATTGCACAGGTAAATCAAACAAATGCTTCAATATCTGATGTCACCTTAGGCTACAGCAGCAGCAGCTCCTTCAATTTTCCTGTCCCCATCCATTTCTTGTGTCTTATATTACACCACTCTGTGTGAACCACCACGTTCTTAATCCACTTGATTAGGGTAAAGTAAGAGATTATGCATAAATTCTATAAAAAAGGAATACCTTTATTTTTTTTTAAAGAGACTGTTTTTTCATTACCAAGCGAAAACTTTACAATGTAAAGTATTTCTCTTCAGTATTGTTTTAATATAAAAACTTAAATCACTTACTCTGGTCTTACTGTTCCTACAGGGAGTCTTGTGGCACTGCAGGACCCAGGTATCTTCAGCCTCACTCTAGTATCTAATCATAAGTTCATGACTTATTTTTTTAAATAAAACCATTTCTGTGGCCACTCACCATCAACAAAACATCCCTACCACCAAAACAAAAATAAAGCATCTTCATCAGACCAAAAGAGACTAAACTCTTAACAGCACTATTACAGTGAGAAACTTTGTTAAAATAAAAATATTTTGAAAGTTAGACACGACTTTAAAATTGTACAAAGACAACAAGCACTCAAATTACACAGAGTAAGTAGCAGTGAGTACAATGTGAATGCAACAACAGTGAGACTTGCCTCTTTTTATATGCAATATAAGTAGAGATTCCTTGCCAAACTTCCAGCTTTTTTTTATCCTTTTTCCTGAAAAGCAGCTCATTGTGCTGCAAAACCTAACAGGGAGCATCTCACTCTTCAGTTCAACAGAATTGCTAAAAGGGGCTCTGGCTAAAACCAGTCTTTCTATCATGAGAATATCCCATACAGTGCAGAACAAGTTTCTTTCTCCACTGGAAATCAATTCCTTTTATTATGCTGAATGCTTCACATTCCCATGGGATCTGTCAAATTACAGGCTTCAAAATGATTAAAAATTCTGAAGCTTGCTCCTGTTTTTTCAAGAACATGCTAGCTGATACTATCATGCTGTGTCCATGTAAGGAGTCACACAACAGAGACTGGTCGTGTTTGTATTTTACTCTGTGCAAGTGTTGTTTCAGGAAAAACACTTGGGACTAATTTTAGATAATTTGGCTCAATTAGTTTAAGTATTGGTCAGAGAAGAAAATATTTATTTAATTTTTTTCTATTACATTTAGAGCTCAAATATATCCCTAAAACCACATGGCAGGAAGTATCCCTTAGAGATTGTCCCTACGTTTGGCTGTGAAGTGAAAAGCTAACACTGTTACCATCCTCCCTTTACTTCTGAGAGTTTTCTTCTTTACAGGAAATACATCTTGCACAAGAAATTAATCCCCCATGGTGACCGTTCAAACAGCTCCATTACAGCCTCAAAACTAGGATTCAGTTATTCCTTAGGTTTAGATAGATGAGAAAACTTCTGCTGTAAATCTTCCCTGAGATCAACAGCAATTAAAAGAAAGTTATGTTTTATCCAACTGCAGCCATACTGGCAAAACTGAATGATGAAATGAACTTTTGGCAAAAGTGAATGGTGAAAAGAACTTTCAGAACTGGTGTTCTGAATTTGAGTGCTTGCAGGAGTCTGTTTCATGACAGAATGCAATCACTTACTCATATTTTCTCTAAAAATGCCTTGATGATTAGGGTTATGTTCATGATTTTAAACTTATTCATTCTTTCTAGATTACCTGGAAGTGCTTTATTTTTAATAGCTTTACCCATTATTAATGACTGTTGCAATGGATCAATGTCCTGATTTTCAGAAAAGCTTCAAAAGTATTGTGGCTTTACTTTTAAATGAAAATAGCCTATTATTAAGACAGCAGTGTCCTGCAAATTGAGTCCATGACACTTGCCAATTGCTTCATTTTTATGTAAAACTGTAAATTTGAAAGCAACTTGATTTTTTTTCTTCTTTTTTTTTTCAGTTATGCAGGAGCCTGTTTAATGTTCCCATGAAGCATTTCAAAATGTCTGTCAGTCTGTCAGTCAAGGGAAGAACACAGCATCTAATCTTATATAAAATTCTTATGGGGTGCAGCCTGAAAAATCCCATGTTAGCAAAACTGAGTGAACCAGCCCAAATTCCTTTTGCCCATCCCACTTCTCTAGCTGCTTTTCTCAATATCCCATTCTTCTCCATTTGCTTCAATTCTAAGATAGCATTGCTGAGGTTTCAATGAAGATTAAAAATTAAAGCAAGGATGTTGTTTCACTGTAAGGAAACAGCAGCTCTGAGAAAATGCTTTCAGTTCTTGTCAGGACAGAAAAGGCTATTGGCAGTTTACCTTTCACTTGGCTTCAGAAGATTTATTAAACAGTTCTAGCCCAAGGCAGTTAAGGATTTTAAGCTAAACCCAAGCTTGTGCAATAAAAAATTATATTTAGGAAGGCATATCTTGATCTCTAGGATTAGATTAAAAAGTTGCTACTGTTATTCTGTCTGAAGTCCTAGACCAGCAGTGGGCTGAGCACCCCTGGATTGATGCACATGGGTAAGAAACCTTCTGCTTTTTAGCTTTGTCCATTTATTCCAGCAGGTTTCATAGCAGGACATGGAACACAAGTGCATTTCTGCAGACTAACTGCACAAAAAAAAAAATTGTTACTAAGTATGCAAGTCTCTCCCAGCCCAGCAAAGGAGACTGCTCTAGAAACAGCTGGGAAATAGCTCCAAACCCAAAATAATCTGATTATTTTGTCTCTTTTCAGCAGTTCCTTGGTATTGCTGTAAATAAACTGCTGTGAAACTCTGCTGGGGAAAGGAAGCTGGACAACTGGCTCCACCCTCAGGAGTTAAAGCATCCTTGTGCCATTGTACCCGTGGAGAGGGAGGATTCCTGTGCTCCCAGGAGATGCTTGGCACTTGTCTGAGCCCAGAGCATCTCCAGATCTAGAGCAGGCAGAGGTCAGTTGTATTCCAGCACTTTGCACAGTACTCCCTCATTTCATTCCAAACCTTTATGGAACATTTGTGTTAGGTGAACTATTTGGCATCATCATTTGGAATAGCTTAGTAACTACTAGATTTTGGAGAGAGTAACATTACTGAAATTCTTCAATTTCCCATTTTGCTTTCTGCCATCCAATAGATGTGGCCATGGCAGTAAGAAATACAGCCCAGGTCTGTAATTCCATTATAAGTTCCAAGTGTATGTGCCTTCTGACTTGTGTTTACAAGTACAGAAGAACTTTTGCAGTAACTGCTTTAAAATTAATTCTAATCACTTCACCTCCCTTGACTGAAAGGCTGATGATAAGGCCAGATGTGTAAAGGACCTTCAGGGAAAGGTGGAGCAGCCTCTTCTCCTGTGAGCAATGAAAAAAACTTCCCAACTCCTCAGTTTAGTGCTTCTACCATCCCCAATTTATATTTAGCTGAGTCCTGCTAGTAGGAAAAAGGCATTAATCTTCTCTGCTAAGAATTTGGTCCAGCATAAGTTTCACTTGACAGCAGCTGCACTGCAAACCACACTCAGTTACAGGTTTGTCTACTCAGCTTTCAAATATTGGCACTGAAATGGAAGGGGGCATGTGAAACCAAGACAAAGGAACAGTGATTTTAGAAAAGCAGACACGGCAAACCTGCAGAACTCCCAGCCTTATGAGAACAGTGGAGTTCAGAGGTCAGCACAAGAGACTGGCTGGTTAAGCTGGGTAATGAATACATCCACAGTTGCACCAAACAGCATAAGAGAGAGTTCTAGAAGAAAAATGTTTCCTGTTTCAAAACGTTAACCAAGCTTGAATACAAAGTTGCAATAGTCCTCCCCCAACAGAGCAGTGATATTTTAACTAACCATCCTAGAGCTTCTTGCATTTCAAAGGTGCAGCATCTCTTCTTGGTCACTCAGGGACTGGACACGAGTAGCAATCCCTACCACACCGTCTTCTTGGATGCACTGTGAAGTGGGGTGCTCCATTCAAGTGCCTTTTTCTCAGCCTCTGGGCTGAACAGAGATCAGGTGCATGCCAGGGATGCTCCCTACATTCCTCGTGAGCTCTACATCAATGTAGCTCTGAAGTCTACAGCAGGGTTAGCAACGATCTGTGGCACACCGCTAGGTTCAGGAGCAGATTGTCATTTCTACAAGAATACAAAATAGCTTGTAAAATCAATATGTAACACTGTATATATGCATGAATATAAAAATAAACCACACCATCAATATGTAAAACTTCACAACAAGGATGAAAACAGTTCTCTTCTCAGCGGTCTTCGGTGTTGATGAGCTGGTTCTCATTGTCATAGCCATCAGGCAGGTAGGCTTTCCTTAGCTGCTCCGACTTGGGAATGGAGCTGCCGTTCTTAACGTAGCGGGACAGGAAGGCTCGCACGGAGGGGTGATCGGCCTTCTCCAGGGGGATGTTGGCCTCCAGGCACATTTTCACAAAGTCCTGGATCACACTGCTTTTCTCTGTCTGGGCAGCGCTGTTGCACTGCAGGGAGGCAGTCAGAGTCCTTTGCTTCTTCCTGACGTTCTGCTCCTCGAACTCCGCCTTCCTCTTGGTGTGCGTTTTGGACTTGAGGTGGTCGTTGATGGCGGACTTGCGCACGTGGTTGAGCACCACGTTGCAGGAGGTGCAGAAGAGCTTGCCGCCGTCCTCGTGCAGCTCGCTGCCGAACTCCGTCACGCGGTCCTGGGGCGTCACGTACAGAGCGGTCTTGGAGCGGTTCCGCGACGGCGCCGACTTCACCGCGAAGCGCTCCATGGCTCCTCCGCCCGCCCGGCACAGCTGGGGACAGACAAGAGCTCATTGCACATCCAGCCTGGCACCTGCTCACGCCTCGAACACCGTGAGCTCCACTAAGACTCGTTTGTGACGCTGCTGTTAAAGGTTTTTCATCTGCAAGTCCAGTTAATTGCTGCAATGAAGCTCCTCGTGGGTCAGAGTAAAACACTGGTTTGGTTTCTAGGTTTATTACGAGGAGTGTTTTTTGTTATTTGGGTTATTGTCACAGTCTATTTGGACTTTTAGTATAAGATTTTATTAATGTGGTGAGAGATCTTTTCTATTTGATTTTTTTATAGTATGTATTGTTAATCTGTTAAGATTGTGGTGGATATGTATGTGTCGTTATAAGGTATTAGACTGTAATTATAGGAAGTGTTTTTTAATAATTGTTTGAAGTTATCCTCACACCACTAATATTGTGGTAACTCAACACAACCCTCAAAACCCAATCTGTTAATCACTTAAAGTCAAACAAAACCACTTTTTGCTTTCCTTGAAAAGTCTTTTTTATCCTTCAAACTTTAGGACAAAGGGTACTTTCTTAGCATTTTCAACATATTTGGCAATTTCTTAATTATGTTGAGTCAGTGTTTTTCTGTATATTTTATATAGCAAGCAAGAAAACCATTACTGTCACTTTTAAAAGTCAATAACTCCCAACAAAAAACAACCCCAAACCAAACCACTTGTTTGGAAACAGCCCTGGTTTTTAAACCACAGCTGTTAGATTGAACCTGGAGCTTAGAGCAAAGAATTTTGTCACTGCAATTACTGCTGGAACAGCCTGATGGGAACACAGAATTGCATCTGTTGCAAAGCAAAATAAGAAACTGTATTTTCAAAGAGGTTTAGCATCACTCTAAACTAGACCATGTCACCAAAGCTGGCAATAACCCAGTTAAGTGCTCTGAAATCAAGCACTGTCCTTTTGTTGCTGAGGTAAGGAGTAGCTACTGCAAATCTCAACTAAAGATAATTTAATTTACTTCTTTTTAAAGTGAAAGTTGAAGTCAAGTAACAGCTCTCTTCAGGTCTGATGTTTTCTGAGCAAAATTAATGGTCACATTAACTACCCATTTCCCAAAAAACAAAAACAAAAACCTCAAAAGTCAACAATGTTTCTTCTAAGTATCCAGATACGTCTAGATGCCCTTTTCTGTACCTGTTTTCTTTTGTTACCCAGTTTGTTGTTGCAACGTTAATCAAAAAAAGCTTGAATACAGTTTCTGCTGTCCAGAATGGGTTTTGCCCACCCTGGAACTAAAGGAATAGAGAATTCTATCTTCAACACTGTCTTTTTTTCTTAAGCCATTGCTACATGAAGAGATTACAAGCTTCTGCAAAAAAAGGAAACAAAGATCTTGGTGTTAGCTACTTTCCTAGTGATATTTTTTGCTCTCAGTGCAGCTTTGCAGACCTGTAAGTCTTAAGACTGATACAAAGATAAGCAGTCTTTATCCAGCATCAATGTAACCTTCTTCATTCCTTTTCTTGCTTTATACCTGAGTATCCAAACAACCATTTCCTGAAATCAAGCAGAAAACAAGCCCTAACCTAACACAGACTTGTTGCTTTGGCTTCTGAAAAGCCAAAAAAAAAAAAAGTTCCCCCGCCAAACCAGGTGTTCGCGGTGCTACTGCACCAAAACCTCTGGGGATTCTGAGAGCACCACAACACAGGATTTTTGGAAGGCCTATTTTTTTTTTTTTTTTGGAGTCTGCACCTCCGAGCGCCGGGCGGGTTCCGCCCGGGACCAGTTCCCGCCGCGCTCCTCGCCCGGCCCCGTGCCCCGGGTGCCCCGCGCGGGTTAAACGCGCACAGCCCAGGCCCCGCGGCGCGGCTGCGTCCCCGGGAGGCCCCGCAGCCTCCTCCCCGCGCGCGGCTCCGCCGACGCGCCGCTCGCCGCAGCCGCACGGCCCCGCCCGCCCCGCCGCCGGAAGTCACTCCCTGATTGGTTCGCCGCGGAGATGGGCGCGGCTTGAGCCCAATTAGGAGTGGGGGGCGGGCGTGACCGCGCTGATAGAGGCGTGCGCCGGCCAATCAGAGCGCGGGCGGCGGCGCTCCGCGGACGGGGCACGGGGCAGGCGACTGCGGAGGGGGGCGTGACAGACGGCGCGAGCAGCCAGTGGGAAGGCGGGATCGAAGTAACGACGAGACTTTTCCACCAATCGCAGCGCGCTCCTGCGACGGGGCGGAGCCAGATGCGACGGGCGCGTTGATGGGCAGGGCGGGCGGACCAATGGGAGCGCGGTGCGGCGGGGGCGTGGCCGGACGCCGGGCGGCGCGGCGGGGGCGGCTCTTCCGGCGCGGCGGGGCGGGGCGGGGGCGCTCGGTACGCGCGGGGCGGCGGGGCCGCCATGGCGGAAGACGAGAGCGACCAGGAGTCGGAGCGGCTCAGCGAGGAGCTGGAGGCGCTGGCCGCGCCGGGGCTCCCGGCCGGGCTGCCCGCTCTGCTCCGCAGCCAGTACTACTGCCGCCGCTTCTGCCAGGTGAGCGCCGGGGCAGCGGCGGGGGGAGCCGGGCCGGGCCCTCACGGCGCCGGGCCGAGGAGCGGGGCGCGGCCCCGGGGAGCAGGGAGGCTGCCGGGGGGAAGGGAGGGAAGGCGAGGCGGGTCCCGGGCGGGGAGAACCGGGGGCGGCCGCGGGGACACGCGTGGTGCTGCGGGCAGAGCGATCCCCGCTGGCCGCGGTGCGCGCCGGAGCGGCGAGAGGGGCCTCGGGAAGAGTTCTCGTCCCGCCGGCCGGGTCAGACCGGCGTGTTTTATGGCTTTTGGGGTTTTGTCCTTTGAAAGGCAGCGTTTTCTCCATGCGGGCCCGGGGTTGCTGTGCTCCTGGCAAGGTGTGCCCTGCGAAGTGCCAACAGGTTGCTTCTCCTGGCTGCTCTCATCAGCAGGTGTGGCTGGAACACTGGGTGCCTTCGGTGTGTCCCAGCCACGCCGCTTGCTGCTGCCCGCAGCACAGCCCAGGGGTTGTTTTATACAGAACTGCTTCGTTTTATCAACTTTTTGACTTGCCTCACCCACTGCGTTTGTCTTCTGCCATCTACAGAAACGTGATGCCATGTTGTCACTTTGTTCCTGTTTCGTCGTTCAGTGAAACACCCTGTTTGAAATATTATTTACTGTTATATGTGCTTATAGTAACCAGCATTCTGCTCACTAAGCCCATGGGTTGCTTTTTGGGGCTGTTGATCCCTTCATGTTATCTTCTGTTTCATGATCTCTCAAAAATTATGTGCTTACAGTAAGCAGCATTCTGCTCACTGAGCCCATGGTTGCTTTTGGGGGCTGTTGATCCCTTCATGTTATCTTCTGTTTCATGATCTCTCAAAAACTGCCGAGCCAGTAAAAGGAGAAGCAAATGTTTTTGGAAGTCTGGCATTTTCCACAACTGTAAGGAATGACAGCCATGTTTGATTATGTTGGCTGGTTGGGAAGACATTTACTTTTGCTCAACCCTGGGGGTTTTATCTTAAATTTTTCTCTTTGTGCTTACTGTATGTTGAGTTTATTGTGTTGAGGAAGTGCAGACAAGGTGATAGCTGCATGTGCTAATGCCATTCCCAAGGAAGGTATGAATTAGTAGGAAACAGAAGAGGAGAAGAGCAGAGGAAGAATTTTCCTGTGAAATAGTTTTATCACAAGTGCTTTATATGTTATATATCTTGTGTTGACTTCTGCAGATTTTTTTTTTGGTGTGTGTAGGGAGATTGCCAAACCTTCTCCCCTCCTTTGAGTTGGTGAACTCTCCAGAAAAGCAGCCAAAGTTCTGAGTATGTAAAAGGCTCTGCTCCTTTTCTCTTAAACTTTCTTTTCAACAATGCATAGTTTAAATAATCCTGATGAGAGTAAGTTAACATATTAACAATTTGTCCCCAGGGTTTTTGGGTTTTTTTTATTTGCTTGTTTTGTGTAAATTTGGCCTGGTGTGAACAGGAGTCATGTGCTCAAGGTAATCAGTGTTTTGTTTAAACATGTGTTTTAGTAATGGGGTTTTCTGCTGATTTAACTACACAAACACAAGATCCTAAGGGTTGTGCTGGTGTGAAAAGCCTGTAGCTGTGTGACATTCATGGATTGACAACAAATGAAGTTGTATGTGCTCCACACGAGCTCATTTTTCCTCGTGGGATTGGCACTGTGTAATTACACATGTAATATATGTTTGTACTTTTTTATCCAGATCTTCTGAAGGACGTGTTTGGCTGCTGTGCAGACTGAGCCTTCCCACCTCACTCCACTTTGCACTGCTAACACAGTTTTGCTTGTCTCCTTACTCATTTGGCCCTTCTGAAGGTCCTGGTTTGCCTCCTGTGCTCCTGGTTTTGTCTCCTAAGTGGAACAGCAGTTGTAGAAATAGTTGCTTGGTGATGGTGCAGTGAATTTGGACTCTCCAAAAGAAAGATTGTTATTTTCAGAATAACAGCCTATCAAAACACTTGGCTGTGCTTCAGACATGGTGCTGGAGCTTGCTGTCACCTGAAAATAATATTGTTTAGATTGCTTGTAGTTAAGCTGATGAAGTCTGAGCATCTTTCAGTAAGAACCACAGGATAAATGAAGCAAGGTGTAAATACAGCCTTTTTTAGTCTGTAGATCTGTTTTATGCTCACAGAAAGTCCTACTGATCTTTAAGAGAGTGGCTTAGAGCTTGAAATGCATTGCTGTACACATCTTTCATCCTTAAGTGGTGTTAGAAAGGTAAAAAACCTGCTGTAAACAGACAGATTCAGTTCTCTTGAGGCCTGGAGCATTGTAGCTCAACTTGAGTTTTGGATTGATTAAGTGCCAGTTAAAAAATATGAGGTGTCAGGATTATGAGAGCATTTTCCATAAATTTATGGGTAATCACCCAAATTTATGGGTAATTTAGTGATACAAGGTACCATTGGAATGTGGCATCTTGAAGCCCATTTGTAGTTTTGGGATCTGTGTCTTGTAGGTGTTTGTGGTCATAGAGAGTTGTTACAGCCTGAGTCTTTCAAGGCAAAATGGAATAAAACAGTTTTTTTGGAATGCTATTTGAGATTGATGACATGGGCAAAGCAGAAATGAAGCTTTCTATGGCTGGAAGGGAAAAAAGACAGTTGGAAGATGAGTCAAGTGCCCAGCTTATGCATCTCACCAGCTGTTTCTGTGTTACTTTCTACACTTTGCTGATGTGGCTTTTCATCTTATTTGTGGCGTTCCAGGCCCACTTGGATGTTGGGAAAAGCAAATCTGCTGTTCCCAGCTTTGGCAGGCAAAAGAACAACACATCTGTAACTACTTTGTAAGTTAAAGACATTTGAAAGGTGGTACCTGGAAGAAACTCCCTCAGCCTAAACGTTTGGAAGTTTCAGTTTGTGCTTGTATGCAGAATTTGAAATTCTTTCAGGAGGTTTCTCAGGAACTGGAGCCATTGGGAAGTTCCTGTGAGACTGAAATACAAATGGTGAAGGCAGTGAAAACAGCATAGATGGTGACTTTTGTAATTGGAAGAATTAATTTCCAATTTTATTGGCTTAAAAACAAACTTTAATGGTGAGCTGGAAAATGGGTGTAGCTTCCTTCATTGCATTGGAAGCGGGTACAGTTTTATTAACTAGAAAAATAAATTCATTTATTTTTGGGGATATTTTCTCGGAACTTTATTATCAAAATATTACAAGTTGCTTGCAGCATTTCTGTAGCTGTCCTCAGGGCTGCAGAACTGTACTAGAGGTTATTTTATGTTGTTGGTACTGACTGCAATAATCACCAGGTGAGTTCATCTCAAGTAACAAGGTGATGCTGTGAGGAGTAAACACTCCTTGATCTGTTCTTCCTGTGGCATCAGTTTACAGCCTTCCAGCATGATCCTGCTCCTGAGAGAAAGATTACCTCCTTTGCTTACATTAATTGGTGGAAAAACAATTCTTGGGCTTATAAAAAAGTTAAGTAGTAAAATATAGTAACGCACCAGAGGAGATGGTGTTTCCTGGATTTATTTTAGCGGGCCAAAAAAGGCAGGGAGGGTTGTGTGACTCAACTGTTGTTCGTCTTGCTTTGTGGTGAAGGAAGTAAAAAAATATACAGCCTTAGGTGTTTGTTCTTCTGACTTTGGGGTTAATATCTTTTCACACATTTTGTGCCTAAATTTGAAAGCATTTGCTTTTGTCTCTTACTCTGGACTTCAGATCAACAGTGGTTAAGTTGTTTTTATGTCAAAAACAAAACAAGTGCAAAGAAAACCTCCCCAAACCTTTAGGTTATGTCACTTTTATTTTATCAAATTTTGGACCTTTGGAATCCATATTTGATCTACATACACCATTTTAAGGCTCAGCTACACGTGAATACTAGCAGTGACAAGTGATTTCTTCAACATGCTTGAAGCTTATTTCTCTGAAAAGGCACAATCTGTAATTTTTCACCACTTATTTGCTCTTGTTATAATTTGTGGTGTTGATGTTTTGGGGTTTTTGTACCTGGCTGAACAAATATGCTTTATCCTTGTTATTGGCTCAAATTTTAAGAGCACTGTTGTAAGTAATATTTTACTTTTTCGTGGTTTTGAATGTTGATACTGCTTGTTACACGAAAGCTTGCAACGGGCCTAGCATGCATTCCAGTAACTTAATTTCAAAGGGTAATGTAACTGATTGAAATTATTTAAATTTAAAATTTATGCTGTCATGGTGTTTTTTACATTGGGACTGGTGGAAACCAGTGTGTTCAGCTTACTTATTGCTAGTTCAGTATTGTGCTGCTTGAGTTTCAGGTGAATTCATATTTAAAATGAAATCCTTTTGAAACAGACGTGGCAAAGGCACGTGGTGTTGACTGCCAGGTTGGATGCCAAGGTGGGCTTCCAGCTGTGCTGAGGATTTATCTGTGTGTGCAGAAGGGAGTCCTTGGCCTGGGTTGGGTGGTGTCACTCCTTCCTCTGACACTTGATGGCAAATCCGATAAGGGTCTGTCATGCAAAACTGGCCTCTGGTGGCTGAAGTGCATTTCACTCCTCAGTCGGTTCCTGAGAATTCACAATAGCAGCTGATTTGCAAGCTCTTTATCTGAAGATTGACTCCTCCGGGCTTCCAGTCTTCAGTGCTCTTGTCATTAACATCATAAAATCTTTTCTTATTCACATGCTCAGGGTGCTTCTCATCAGCTTTTGTGCCTGCTGTCCTCTCAGCTTTGCCCTAGGAAACGATCTCCCTGTTTTACAAGTAGGATTAAGGAGTTACTCTTTTCCAAAAGAAACATTTGAACATTGGTGCAACACATTGTAGGCTTTTCTTGATCTTTGTAACAGCTTTTTTCTTCTCTGAAACTTTCCTCTTTGACACTTTCAAACTTTTTGGTTTGGAAGTATTGCTACTTCTCCAGGTTTTAATGCCTTTTCATTAAGTATAACTTTTACATGGCAATAACCTCGTTGTTTTTCCTTGGAAAAATGTATCAGGATTGTAACTTAGAAAGGAGTTGCGGGTTTTTATACCTAATGGGAGGATCTCTATTGAGTGATGCTTCTGTCTAGTAGCTTTGCTCCATGGGCTTGTTCAAGTTAGGGAAGGCACACTTGGTGCAGGAGCTAATGCAGAAATCCAGAAGTTCTGTCCTTTTGTTTAGATGAGGAAAAGAGGTAATTGTACTTCTTCACTGACACAACTAATAAATTAATTTTACTGGTTACCGGTGATGTGGATGTGAGCATTTGTGTGTTCACAAGATTAGCAGTTCTCCCTTTCATATGTGAGCAAAACAATTCCTTTCATTAGTTTACTTTCATTTGGGGGGTGAGGTGCTAATCAAAAGACGAGGAGGAATATTTGTATTTTTTCGGTAAATATATTTATCTCTCAGCCATAAATCAGTGCTCCAATCATCCCAAACTGCTTTTCTAGAATTAATGTATAGTTTTCACTGTTGTGCAAGTGACAGACTATAAACATACATGACTTTTTGGCTGGCTAAATGTAGTGGGCATATGGTAGCCAGTCTTGGGAATTGTTCTTGCCTGAAGCAGGCTGAGGAGATGATGAGATTTTGGTGATTAAGAGTAGGGGGAAAGCATTTAGCTTTGAGGGTAGAAACTTGTCTCATGGATGCGTCATGCTGTTGCTGGGTGATGTGTTTTCTTTTGCCAGAAGTCTGATTATGTTTGGTTACTCCTTATGTAATATTCGCATGTGAATTGCAATAAAGCCATTGCTTACATATTTTAGTATAAAGCCACTTTCAACTTTTATATGTCAATATTTCGTAGTGCCCTAAAATCATAAGGCTTTTCCTACTCTTTTTTTAGTATCTTTGGATAGTAAAATCCTTCTTTGTAAGGACATGGTTGGCTTGTTTGTATTTGGAAACAAAACAAAATGCTCTTCATCCACTGAACAGGTTCAAAAGACAGTTAAAAAGCTGTGATTATTTCTTGTGATGTTTCTAGGAAGAGTAAATGTAGTATTACCCAGGTTCTAGAGCTGAACTTTGGTGTCTGAGCTGCTCTGGTATTTCTGCGGATCAGGCAACTGTGGTGGGTGTTGCTTTAATTACGCATTTTAATTTTCAGGAAACTTTGGGTTTTCTAAGCTTGCCCTTTTTGGGTTTGTCCTCATGTGACAACCCTTACATATGTATATTATAAGGAATGACAACCATTGAATTTGCCAAGAAGCTTTCTGTCTGAAAACTAGAAAGAGAAAAACTCACAGAATTGTTGTGAGTCTAATCCTGTGGTGTCTTTACTGTTAAATCTCACAAGAAGCTATGGGAGTAACTTTGTTTGAAATCCTAGTAACGATGAAGTTCAAAATTGGTGGGATTTGTAGTTTCTTTTTTTTTCTTGTGTGGAGGAATAGGAAAAGCTGTAGCAACTTCCAGCCTAGCACTGCATAAAACATTTGTGGTTTGTGTCCTGTGTATTTGCAAATCTAATTATTTGCAATGCTGTTTCTCTTAAGTCTTTGAAATACAGCCAAATAACTTTATATGTGCATATTTAATTACTTTAAAAATGTGTATAATTCATCAGTTATAACATAACTTTATATGTGCATATTTAATCACTTAAAATATGTGTATAATTCATCAGTTAAAACATAATATTCCAAGAAAAGCTATTGTTTCACTGCTATAGTCCAGGTTTTTAATTACTACCTTGTTATTTTTGGGGTTAGCTGTCTTAGCTGTGTGCTCAGAAATTTTTGATGAGTCTGGTCTTGATTTTTTTAATGGGACACATCTGAGTCTTGGATTTTCCTCTGAGTTATTGAAACCTATTAAAGGAGGGGAAGCAGCGTGTTTGGTGTCAGGAAGGTGCTTCAGCCTCCTTTCAGTGCCTTTATCTGCTCTGACTGAGAGAGGGAAAACAAAAAGGCCCAGTCCCTTCATGGTTATTAGCAATGGCAGGTACAGACAGACTGGAGGGTGTTGCTTCAAGGATATTAAAAATTGCACCCTAACAGAGACTTTGAAAGCACCTGCTGCAGGAAGTCACATAAAAAATGTTGCTTCCCTTCTGGTTTTCTCTCCTGTGTATTGAACAAGGCCACTGTGCTTTGGCATTGTTATGTTCTTTTTTTATTTGGTTGACTTCATTGTATTGATATTGGTGTGCCTGTTGGAAATGTGCTGATAAACTTTTACTTATGTTCTGTTTGCAGGCCTCTTTCAAAGCATGGCATCTTGAGTATTTTGTACAAAAAAGTGTTTGTTTTCTATCACAGAAAAAGTTATTCCATGAGATCACTTCAAAACAGACATTGAAGTATACATCATTCCCTGCCCCTCCTTCTGTATGGATTGTGTGTGAAGTGTGGTTTGGAATTTATTATTTTATACTTAGTTTAGGTTTTTATCCACACACTCCCCACACCTCCATCTTTTGCTGATTGTTGCAAGTCTTCTGAGAATTGATTAGATTCTCAGTTAGATTTCTTTTCTGCTGTGACTGATGAATTCATGGTTTCAGGTTATGTACCTTCAGGAAAAGTTTGCTATTGCTGTTTTTCCTGAGCAGTTTGGGATGGGGGGGACTGTTGCTGTGAATGTGTTTTGGTACATTTGAGTAGCAGACCAGCTGCCAGGCCAAGGTGCTTTTGCTGCTGTGTTCCTTTCTCTGCTGGCTCTGGTATTTGTGTGGCACAGGAGCTGGTGCAGACTGGGACTGATGGCTTTTTGGGGAGAGGCTGCTCCCTGCCCATTAATTCCAATGTAGCTGAGCTTACATTGGGTTCAGATGAGTGCTGGAGGTTCAGTGAGGCCTGTGCAGTAGGACACAAAATGTTGTTTTATTGCTTGAAATAATTTATGAACATATCTATACCGTGCGCATCAGGTGCAAGTGTTGTGAAACATCCTAGTGGGAAGTGATGCTTTACTTCCACCTTTGCTTGACCTTTTGGAGGCTCACATTTCTAAAGGATGTTTTTTGTTTCGGTCTGCTTTGTTTTTCTAAGACTTTTGTGGTTTTCTATGAAGGGGACTTGGCTGAAACTATTTCAGGGAACTCTTAATAGATCTATGAGGCAGGACTGTCTTAAAAAATGTTTAGTCTTCTTAAGAGAAAGATTAATGCAGCAAATACCTAGGTCAACTGAAGAAGAATTAGCAGACTTGCAGATAAATACTCTAACAGTTTTTCAAACAAATTACTAAAATAAGTTTGGAAAACTTAGAATCTGCATACAAGTATGGGTCCATCTCAGCTGCTGTTGCCTTAAGTCCATCCTGGTTCTAAATAAAGCCAAATTTACTCATTTGATCAGATAAGGGAGAGGGACTGGGATGTTTGTGACTCTGCTGACATAGAGGCTGGAAGAGTGCAGGTTAGTCTTTCCCCTCTTGGAAAGTTTTTAGACTAGAACGTCTGGATGTTGTTACAGACTCTAATTTGCATCCCCTTGCAAAATAAAAACTTGTGTTTAAATGCAGAGTGCAATATCTACTGTGGCCTAAGAAGAAGGTATTTCCTGTCTTATCCTCTGAAAAGACTAGCTGAAGGTCTCTTGTGATATTCCTTTCATGATTTAGGTCATAAACCAGAAAAGTCACATTTTTTAGGTTACAAACTCTGCTCCTGAGGGAGAAGTTGGGGAGCTAAAGCAGGTATAGTGTCAACTGCTTCTTCTTTCTGAGCAAGGAGAACGTCTTGGATAACAATGTGTATTTCCCTGGTTTTGCCTAGGTTGTTGAAGACTATGCTGGGAGGTGCCAGGTGCCTCTGCCTCAGCTGCAGGTGCTGCAGACGGCGCTGTGCTGCTTCACGTCCGCCTGCGTGTCCTTCCCGGCCGAGTGTGAGCACGTGCAGTATGTACTGAGTAGCCTTGCTTTGTGAGTACTTCTGCTTTTTTGTTATTCCTTCCTTTACAATAGCAGAGCAAAAGGGTTTCGGATCCTCAGAGCTCCCCAGGTGGTGTAGCTAGACAAAACCAAAAATTGCTAATTAGAATGTATTTTCATCTTTTTTGTATCCTTTTTAAATATTCAAGTTGGTTATGAAGTGTTTTGCCATAAAAAACACTGGCAAAATGAATAATCTAAGAAAGAAGGAATCATCATAACTTTATTTTGGAGTATTTGAAAACCAACCTTTGCCAATAGATAATTTTAAATAATTTATCTCAAATTTTTACTTCTAGTGTTGTAATAAGCTAAGTACTTCTTAAGATAAATTTCTTCAGAAGAAAGTCAGTTACTTCAAAATAGTACGGATTTTTATGTTTGAGCCCTCAAAATGCTTCTGGGAATTACTTGTCATGCAGTTAACTGACCCAAAGTCGCATTCAGCTTCAAGAACTACAGGATGTTTTTTCATAAATTTTGCTCTAATTTCAATTAATGCATTGGTCATTTTCCCACGTGAAGACTGGAAGTGTCAGGGTAATAAGTACATAAGGAAAAAGTAAATGCTGTATTTACATGTTGATGAAGCTTCAGTGTGGACATTTCCTGTTTTGTGTGTTGAAACTGTTTGACAGAGGACTATTTATGGCATCATAAGACCACAGTTTTCAAAGTTGCATCAAAACATGGTGACATCTGTTGCAGTGGGTTTTTTTCACTAGTTTTAAGGAAAAAACCTACAAAGTTCAAACCATGTTTATATGTGCATTTAAACAACAAAGCTTGGGAGGTAAAAAGGTGGAAATTCAGGTATTTTTTGGATGAATACATTCTGGTATTCAAGAAGTAAATTGGTCACTGAGTTCCTGTCACCCTTGTCAGTTTAGATTTTTGAGACTGGGTTTGCTCCATGAGATTTGCTTCCATTCTAGGATATCAGATTATTTATTCTTCTGCCTGGCTGGCCCATTTTGCATGTGATGTGATATAAAGGGATCCCAGGGCTCGGTAGCTGCAGTTACCTGGGCAACCTTGCTTGAATCTCTTTTGAAAATTCAGTGTATATTAGGTCTTAGTTCTTGGAGAGCAAAACTCTGCCTGACTGTATTGTCATCCTTGAGTAAGATTTCCTTGGTAACCAGACAATAAACTGTTAACAGGAGCAACTGGTTTATTTCCTATACTTCATAACCTTGCTATTCATATCAAATGAAGCAGCATCTGCATTAATATCAGGGGGTTTTATAATGGTGCCACAGTAGTGTTTTGAGGCAATCTTCTGATGCCAAAGCAGTGATGTGATCAATCTACATGGATAAAAATGTGGATATGCAGTGCTGCAGAGGGTTTTGAAATAAACAAAGTTGGAACTGACTGTAGTAATTTTAACTGGAGACCAGTGATGAGGAAATAAAAATATTTTGATGGCTTCCTTTATTAGACTGTGAGCAAGTGCATTGATAAAGCAGAAAGTCATAGTTTACACTTGTTCACTATTGATTTCCAGATTTTTTTTGCAAGATCTTCCTCTTTTTTAAATCAGTCAAAACAAATTTAAATGCAAGCATGCATCACTTGCTCTAATTAGTTTTGTCTTATTATTTAAGTTCCGGTTTGGTTGCTTGCCAGATCATGATGTGACTCATGGCTGACCTTTCCTGAGAGTCAAGTATGCTGCAGAATTTTGTTTAACATGAAATGAGCTAATGTTTTTGTCAGAACCACGTACTTATTTGGGTAGGGATTGTTTTTTCATTGCATATTTGAATTGAGATTCACAGACTTAGCCTTGAGAGAAACTCTGTCACTGAACATAATAAGTTTGTATCTATTTCCCTAAGCCTGTTTTTGGCATAGTTAATCATTGGTTAAAAAAACCAAAACTTCAGCATAATCTATTGGAAATCTAATTTTGGTACTTTTCCATTATTCCTATAGAAAACTTAATTTTCTCTGTGAGTATTAAGACTTATTTTAATGCCCATGTCTAATGAAAATGTTACTGAGGAGAAAAAAATGCCTTTAATTTGCAAAATGTTTTTTGAAGTCCTGCCTGTTCCTCTGAGAGTTGCTCTTCTTGCCTGCTGCTCTTGACTTTCTCAATCAGCAATTGCAGCTCATTAGTGCAGTGCCTGCCTGGTACTTTTTCCAAGTAGAAATGAAGTTTCTCAGAATCTTCAGGCAGAACAGTAACAGTTGCAATGCAGATCCACGATTGCCAAGTTTTTGATTGAATTCACTCAACTGCATTATCTGGAAGGAGGTTTTTATAAACAAAAACCTGAATTGAAAGGAGATCTGGAAAGTTGGGTTTTACCTACCTCTCTGATTCTGTAACAGGATTTAAAGGAACTAAAAGGCTAGACCAGTATTTTAAGATGATAAAACCATGGAGGTCACAAATCAGTGTGAATCTAAGCAGCTGTTGAAAGTATTAGTCCTTTCTTCACCCATTTCTGCCACCTCTTTTTTTGGGTAACACTTCTGAGTTCATCTTGCTGGACAGAGACCTGATCTGCTTAAAAACTTGGTGGTGGTGGTAAAATTCAAGTTGTATGAATTTGAATGCCACGCAGAAGGTGAGCGTAGTTTTGTTTGCTTGTTTGCACAAAAGCTGTCCCTTTCTAAATAATCTTCAAAAGCTTTTTTTGAAAAGATAAAATAATTAATACCTTTAAACCAACATCTTAATAGAGAGACTTCAGTTACAGCAAGACTGGCTGAAATGAAATAAAGTGTGTTTGTAGTAAGTGCCTGAAAACAGGAATTGTTGTCTATTAGAAACCTTTGAGTGACTCCACATGGCACAAGTCTAGAATTCACAGAATTCCTGATTTTGGTTTGAGTGCTGCTAAAAGTAAGAGACTTGAGTAGTTTCATTTTTTGAATCAATGTTTTTAGTTTGACTTGTCACTACTTCTGTTTTTTAGGAGTTTTTTTGAATTGCTGCTGTTCTTTGGAAAGGATGAGTTCTATGAAGATCCTTTGAAAGATATTTTAGGTTCAATCCAGGTAGTGTTGCCTACTTTCTTATAAACTTTTAATATTATTTTAGTAGATGTCAAGACATTTTTTTGACTGTATGACCTGGAGGAAATGTGCCATTATAGTGAAAGAAACTTTGTTTATATCTATTTAGAGTTTAATGTCATTCAGTTAATGATGTGAAATATCATGTAAACAGTAAATTTGAAATTGAAGCTTCATCTCAATGAAGTCTTCATGTCAGCATAAACATGGATGGTTTAAATTGTTCTAACAATCTGTGGATTGGGAAAGAGCTTTCTATATCTGTGTACAACTACATAAGATAAATGACCCCAGATTAAGAGCTTGTTTTGCCAGGTAAGTGTGGGATTTGGTTTGTTTGGGTTTTTTTATACCTGAATGGATTTTTAGGGTTGTACCACCATGAGAGGAAACTTTGTAGAGAAAGAAAGGATGAAAACCTGGGTTGTGTCTCTATTAATACTGCTCATGGAACTGCAGTTTGAGACTTTGCTGGTTTTATGTGGATACCTGTCTATTACTGCTTCTTCAAATTAATGTACCAGCACTGTTTCTGCATCAGTTGTGTAATCAAACTGGCAGTGAAAACAGGTAATTGTATGTGGGTGGAAGCCATTCTTCTGCTGCATTTTTTGTTTCAATATTAGATAACTCTTTCATTACTAAAGTTTTCTGTTGATTAACGGTGTTGTTGACACTTTTACAGCAAATAAGGCATGGGGATGAGAGGGAACTTGACATGTGAAAATAATGGCTGGCTAAAGCATTCCATGATCTTACAGGCAAACACAATTCCTGTTATGCAGAGATCTGGAGAAAAATGGTTGCTTGAGGGCTGGTGACTCATGGATTAATTCAGTTTTTCCCTCAGAAATCACAAATCCAGCTCAACATGTCTAAGTCTGTGCAGGATGCCATGAGGTGAAGGCTTGTCTCAGTGTGTGCCAGTAATATCTCCAACCCAAATTGGTTTCCATTGTTATACAAGTGGAAGGCTCTTTCTGAGGGCTGTAGAAGCCATGAATTTGACCTTCAGCAGTTCTGTATTGCTATTTGTAGATAATATCAGTTGTTGCTTTAGGGCTTTCTGTATGGTCATTGAAAGACTTTGTAGCTCAAATTACTGATTGAGGAAATACTCAACCATGCATAGGTTTCTTGGTTCGTATCTTTGGGATAATCTAACTGTTTTAGACAACATCTTTTTATTCTTTCTAATTTTTTTCTCTTTTTACACTTAGGAATGTCAGAACCTTCTAAACAAATACAGGAATCTGAACCTGGAACTAGTGACTCGAATAATTCGGGATGGTGGACCATGGGAGGATCCAGTATTACAAGCAATTCTTAAAGCAAAGCCTGTGTCACAGGAATTAGGTACTTCATTTATCACAGTAATTCTCTAGAGTACTGAAAAATGTGTTCAATTATGCTTTTTTAAAATATATGGGGTCAGGTGTTATCAGCTGACATTGCACAGTGTTTTAACTATTTTTCTGTAGTAAAATATGCTGGTCTCTTTTTTGTTTGAAAGAAAGCTGAATTTCTTTGCTAATTTAAGTCTGCTTTTATAATGTAGAGATCAGATTGGTCAGACAAAGGCAGCTATGGAATAGTTTATAAAATTCACAGGGTGGATTTCCCAATCTCCCAAAGCATCAAGAGCAACTTGACTTCAGTTAGACTCCTGAAATAACATGATTGGAGAGGATCTGATGTGTCTATGTCTCCTGGCACTCTGACTCATTTAATTTTTCTCTTCACTTGTAAATACTTGGTCTTGTGGCTTTCCTTGGTTCTGTTTCCAACGATGCCCATGGCTACATGTCACAGCTGCTTTCTGTTTGTGGATATGTAATTCCTGTAGCTGGGAAAGGTGCAGTGCATGGGAACAAAATCACTGGAATGTTAATGAAAGTTCCTAAGAGAAAAAGTACCCAAGCTACAGTAAAGTATTTATTAACATGTCAAGCAACAGTGTTCCTCAGGGGACCTCTTAAAAGTTGTTTTTAGTTTGATAGTGATGGAAAATGCCAGCTTTTCTCTAGTTATTATGGTGTAGTGCCTGATAGAAACCCATCACTGTGTTTGTGACAGTGTGTTCATTGAGAGAGAGGAAGAGCAGTAAAGGCAGGACAGCTCAGTGAGCAGCCTCCCTAACCAGAGCAAGGGTTTTGATAGCAAATTAACATCATTATGCCTTTGTTGTTCTCTTTTGTGAAGCAACTGCTTGAGCAACAGATTTACCCATGATTTTTATTAGATATCTCATAAAGTTCTGGTCAAATAAGTACAGAAACAATGAAAACCAAAATGAACCTTGTTTTGTTCTGCATTGCATGGTTTTAGTGATTATGATGGGGAATTAGGTCTTGATCTCCATCTCTCCAGCAAAGAATTAGTTTAGTCCTTTGCTGTAATGATTCTCTTGGTCATCGTGAGTCCTCTCTATGATGGGTAACAGTTTGAGGAGTTTGTTTTTAACTTGGCAGAGCAGGAATGAGACCTGTTGTCACTAGATGAGCACTTTGTTCCCTTTTATTTCAGGCTGCATCTCCTTTCCCTCTGCTGAGAGATTTTCTCTCCTTTTCCCTTGATATCCTCACACACACCCTTGACACATCTCATCTGTGCTGACAAATGTTTTATTTTAGATAATTTATATTTTGAAAGCTTGTTCTTTCTTCCTCTTTCTTCATCTAAAATTTGACTCTTGTGAAGTCTTACACAAAGCAAACATCCTGTGCTGCTTTATAGGCTAGCAGGGTTTAGTGTGTATTTTGAAACTTGGCCATGTAGCTCCCTCAGGGGTTATTTAAAGAGGAAAAACTGCCTATTATTGCTGAATCACCAGCCATTCCTTGCAAAAATGAGTTTGTGTGAACTACATAATCCTGTCCTGCATTACTTAACTCTATGGAGAAGCTCAGGCCAAGACAAACCTCTCTGCGTCTGTCTTTACAGGAGTTGTAGTAAACTTTCAGATGTCACAATCTTTTTGGAGATTGCTGGAAACAAAGCAGTCATTGAGTTGAAAGAAAAATAGTGGGGTTGAAACATAGGAACAATCAACTTGTAATGGACTAGGGAGAATAAGGTGAGCATCTAGAAAAGAACATTAGAGGTGTGGTCAGAGGGAGCAGTTAATGAGTTTCTGAGGTGCTGCTTGATGTCTGCTGCTCTAAAGCAAAGCATCACTGCCTGGGTAAGAATACATGTTGTTTCTTAGTGTATCTCAGGCTTGGCCAAGCACTGCTGTAGCTGGCACCTGTCTTTGGTTTGGGGGGTTAGAAGAGCTCTGTGTGCTGCCCTGGGGAAATAGGACAGTCCAGGACAGGGAGGGAGCACTGCCCTGCCAGCAGCATCAGTGAAACTTTGAAATCAGAGGAGCTGTAGGAACCCCCATCCTTGGGGAGCTCCTGCTGGCAGTGGTGTAGGGTGTGGAGATGCCCTTCCCTAGGAGAGGAGGCTGTCAGAGTCTCCTTTGTGGGGCAGAGAGGACCTGAGAGTTCCCCACATTAAATGGGAATGGTAGAACAGGGTGAGCTGTGCTGTGGGGTGCAGTTCTCCTTCCTTTAAGAGAAAAGGATGTTACAGCCACTTGTTAGTTGGGCAGCATTTCCTTACCATTAGCACTTGACAGAGCTGAGTATTTCCAGCCTTATTTTTCAGTAATGCTTGCATGCAAAACAGAAGATGTAGTTTATTACCCTAAGGGTGCTAATTCAGTAAAGGAGAGGCCTTTACTTGGCTCTAAGGACTTTTCCATATAATGACTTTTTCTTGCAGTTCATCACCCCCATTAGACACTGGCTTGCCTTTTAGTCCTCTTGTTTTCTTAGTTTGTTCTCAAAAGTGCTAATGGGTAATGGGAATAAGATGTTTCTTTCTTACAATGCATCTGTTAGCAAATCAAATTCAAACCTGACACCTTGAATTATACTGCTTAAATGTTCATTAGCATGGAACACTGCTAGCTTGCATAAAAATCAAGATGCTAGAGAAATCTTGGGTTTGAGTGTAAGGAATTATTTCAATCCTTTAAAAAAAAAGCTTTATCTGAAAGGTTGTTGTATAAGTAATCTCTTCATTTGGGGAAAAAAATTCTTTTTTCTGTTTGTGGGTTTTAGTAACCATTTCTTTATTATCACTTTAGATTGCTTGTAATTAATACAGATTCCTTCTAAGGGATGAACTTTCAGCCTTCACTGACTTTAAATTGACAATCTCATTCTTTCTTTCTTTAAAACATGAAACATTAAAGTACTACAATGGTAGCCTTGAGTGATATTTTAACTTATAATCCAAAGAGATACTATCATCTGTATGATCTTCTATAATAAAAATGAAAAGCATGTCTTCCAGGTATTTCTGAATTTCCAGTTACTTCATTGATGAGTATTTTCAGTAGCTCACTTAAAATTATTTCAGTCAAATATTAGTGTTAAAATTATCTTTTAGAGCTGAAAAACAGATTTCCAGAAATTAGAAGCCAGAATTTAAAGGTATTTAGATAGGAATTGTGCCCAGCAGCACTTTCAGAGGAAGATATGTTTTCCAAGCAAGCAAAATCAAGGCATTCAAAGCTTCTTAAGGCAATAGCATGTGAACTGTAGTGAACTTTTTTCACCCCTTTGAGGTCTTACATTTTAATGGATAATGAGTATCTTGAGGTTTTTAAAAGTATTTATAATTATATCTTTGGTGGTGATGTCAATCCTATGCTTCTGACAGTCACACATATTCCACTGCTGAGAAAGAAGGGGATTTTCTTTCTTTAAAATGCTCACATCTGCTTCTATGTAATATAAATTTCATCAGTCCTTTGCAGCACCTTGTATTAACTTGTTAGAAACAAAATGCTGAATTAGATTACTGGTTTAAGACAAATAACAATTTGTTTCCAAGCAGGACAGATTTCTTATGGTATTTAATTTAATATTTGATAGACTTTTTTAGCAGAGTCTTTATTTTTTTCTTAATATTATTTGTTATTAAACATAGCATTACATTTAGATATATTTATTGTTTGGACTTCATATTCTAATTGCCTTTAAATCTTTCTTTTCTGTGCAGTTAACAAATATTTAAGCTCTGAAAATCCACTGTTCTTTGAACTCCGTGCCAGATACCTTATTGCCTGTGAACGCATCCCTGAGGCAATGGCTCTTATCAAATCTTGCATAAATCATCCAGATATCAGTAAAGATCTGTATTTCCATCAAGCTCTTTTCACCTGTCTTTATATGTCACCATTAGAAGATCAGCTATTCCAGGAGGTATTGTTTGTCAGTATACATTTCTTTTTTAAAATTAAGTGGTGCTTTATACTTGCTGTGTACGAGTTGTCAAGAGGAGCATGTGGAACTCTGATTTTGTGGAACTAAGTGTCATAAAATCAGGCAGCCACAGTGGTGTTGCTCAACTTAGTGCTGGCTTAAACTTGGAAAAGTTGAATGTGAAGTGCCTACAAATCTTGTTGACCTAAATGCAATTTTTTGGTCAAGTATTCTTGTAGATATACTCCCTAAATATTTTGTAACTTCAGTGTATTGACTATTTTACTATTGATTATTTTAGTAAAAGCACTTGAGCCTAATTGATGTTAATCGTACACTATATAGTTTTGTTAAAGTTTTGTAATTATGCCCCAATATGTTAATGCTGGCTTAAGCTTGGAAAAGTTGAATGTGAAGTGCCTACAAATCTTGTTGACCTAAATGCAATTTTTTGGTCAAGTATTCTTGTAGGTATACTCCATAAATATTTTGTAACTTCAGTGTATTGACTATTTTACTATTGATTATTTTAGTAAAAGCACTTGAGCCTAATTGATGTTAATCATACATTATATAGTTTTGTTAAAGTTTTTTAATTATGCCCCAATATGTAAAATGACACTTGAGCTGATTTGATTTGAGCTCACTGACAGCACTTAGTAGATGACAGTGCTTCTCTTAACCTTGTTTTAAGAACAAGCCACCCAAAAGTGGCAAGAAAAAGTGCTTTTGTGTTGTATTTTAATTTCTCAGACAATTATTCTGGTCATTACTCTAAGAAATATGAAAGAGCTAGAAATACCTCCACAATCTTTACTTATAGATGTACACAAAAGCCATTCCAAAGACATCCTGTTAATAGCATTCCAAAGACATTGTGTTAATAGCAATTCCTGAAGTTTTTAGTAGAGCAAGGTCTGATTGGTTTTGATTTCATGTCAGCAAATTGATCTAAATCAATTTTATTTTAATTGTATAGCACTTGTTGAGGACTGATTGCAAGAGTGGAATTGAGATCATCTGCAACACTGAAAAAGAAGGGAAGACTACCTTAGCCTTACAGCTTTGTGAATCCTTCCTAGTCCCACAGCTCCAAAATGGGGACATGTATTGTATATGGTAAATACTTTATTTCTGGGGAAGCAGCTGACCATAAAATACATCCTTATTGCCAAAATGAAACTCACCTAACTTAGAAATAACAGATAAAAATGATTTTTAAATGTTTCTGGTGCTTCTGTTGTGCCTGTTTGCCCTTTTACACATAGTCATATACAGGGTAGCCTAATAGTTCATAACTCTTTATGTACTATTTCCAAGTAACAGAAAAGTGAACCTTTACATACCTTACCTAGAAATGTAGCATTTATTATTGACAAAATGCAGTCTGTAGGCTTAACCATGTAGATATATTGCTCTGTAACTGTAGTGTGTCACCAGTGTGCCTAAAAAGAGAATGTGTGGTGCTGGAAATGTGCTGTTAATTATGGAAACTTGGATGTCATGAACAGAGGTATCACATAGATGGAGTTCTCTAGAAAACATTGACGATGTCTTCACACATATTCAATTATCTTGATACCTGAACTTGTTTTTAGGGCTAAGAAGTGTGTTCTAGAGTAATGTCAACAAATTTAATCGTTCTGAGGACTGAAAGATGGCTAAGGACTATAATCCTTTTGTTGAGCCTCTATAATTTCTGTACCTAAAGGAACATCTTCATTCCTTGGTAAAAAGTGCTTTGTTTCTGTAATTAAAGCAAAACATCCTTCCAAGGATTTGATAGAGATCAAATTATCAATCTAACTAATACTGAGGTCAGAAGCTACCTTGGATTTCTGTGTTCCCAGCTTCCAGGAAATCAAAAAGCTTTGTTGTCTTGAGAAACTAATGAAAGTTAGATATGATAATGTTTACTTTGGTATTAGTATTTTTCCTTAACTACTGGGCTGTAGGAGTAGTAATTGCTCAATCAAAACATTGGGATTATGATAATGACATCAGTACAATGTATTGGCAATGGCTACTGACATTTTTCATCCAGTCTGTCCAGGAAAAGATGGACAGGACTGTCCCCATAGGAAAGATGAAGTTCAACCCAAAAGGTAGAGTTTGTGTGAGCTCAGTGGGAATTGAATCCATCTTTGCTGATTCCTGCCCAAAAGCTGCCTCTCCATGTTACTTACTAGGAAATGACAGGTGTAACCTCCATGGATTAATGCTTTCTGTTTGGAGGAGCCAGTCTTTGAAGAAATGCATTTTCAATACTGTAATTAAAACTCCTTTTGCTGTAGTAACATGTTGACCTTGCTCTTGCCCAGCTGATTAAGTTTTGCATCATCCATTTTTGAAATTCCTGTTTAAAGCAAGATGTATCTCTTTTTTGTTCTGGCAAATCAGATGTCAAAGATAAAATTCCAGTAGAGGCTTGAGTACTGTTTGATACCTTGCTTTCAGGGAGATCATCTTGCCATCTCAGTACTTTAATTTATTCAGAATATAGAACTTGAGGATCTTTGGAAGAGAGTTCAGAGCACTTCTGTCTGTGCAGCTCAAACAGATGTTTCATTCTTCACAGATGCTGAGCCTTAAGAATTGTGTTCTCAACAAGAACTCTGTGTAATACTCCATAGCTCATGGAAACTGCAGCAAAGCTTGTGAAGGCATGACTATACTGTAGTCCAATCTTTTTAAGAAGTAGGAGACAGGTTAAATTAACCTACAGAGTCTTATTTTTTCCCCAAGGAAAATTTTAGTGTCTCCAGCACAGTATAAATCATCTCCCCTTGTCTGGAACTGAGGGCCTTGCAGATCTAACAGAGATCTAGCTGCTAACATTACAAGCAGAGATGAGACAACAAAACTATTAGAAAGCTCTAAATAGCAGATATTTGCTACAGCCTAAATGAAATCTTCAAGCTGAAACCATTAGCTGTCATCTTGGAGGAAGATGAACTTTAAAGAGCTTGGTCACGAAACTCAAATTTTCACCGATGTTAAGAATGAATTCTAGATTCAGATGAACAAATTATTTTTATGAAATTACATCATCAAGCAAGCTGTGCTTGGTCATACTAAAATATTTTTGTGTGAAATAATGGTAAGAAATCAATTTATAATACTTTGTATCAAAGTGTTGTCTCTTCAGGAAGACACACAGTATTTTGATGGAGCAGGCATAAATGGCCTTCCTTCTCTGACAGAAGATTTTTAAATGCTATTTTGGCTGTTTCCAGGTGATTCTTATGCAGTAAATTCAAAGAATTTAAGTAAATTCTTTGACTTACTGCAGTAAGTCAAAGAATTTTTACCACAGGTTTGATCACTCTTTTGGCAAAGCATGTTCCCTACTTGTTAAGTGTAGCAAAGGGTTTAGATCCAGCTAAGTTAGGCAGGGTTTAACCATCATTTCATGTGGCACACAGTGGTTTTGGTATTTTGTAGGTAATTAAGAGGCTGAAATGCATGGTTGCCTCTGGTAAAGAGATGCTGAGTTCTTGATCTTCCAATAGCAATTTAAATTGTCCCAGCAAAATCAGAAATGGACTTGAAAAGGAGAAGCCATTGTATTGACATAGAAAAATAAAACTAAAAGACTAAAATACTGTTTCAAGTCAGGGTCTAGGTAGATGGTGGGTAACACCTTGTTCTTCAGCCATGCAGCTCTTCCTTCTCTTTCCAGTTTTCTGCTCTCCTTTTTCAGTTCTTTCCTTGTGCCAGCCTAGCACTTGTCTGAACACACAGCAAGCCCCTTTAGCCACTAATCTCTGAAGAATAATTTGATTTTTTCTCATGATCTCTGGGATTAGTATTGAAATGGCTTGCTCTGAAATGGTGTGAGGCAAAGCAGAGAATGAGATGGATTTCTGAACTGTAACATATAACAGCAAAACTACTCAGTTCTTACTTCTGTACTTCAGGTTGATACTTCCACTGAGTTGTTAAGAATGTGTTAGTGCATGAGGACACTAATTTCAAACGTGCATATGAAGTTTGCAGATATATAGAATTCAGGTTTCCAGCCTGGTAAAGGCAGAGGTGAGCAGTTTCTATCTTTAGAAAAGCAGAAAGACCAATTTTTTAGTGTGTAGAGCTGCTTATAGGTGACTCTTTTCAGTTTACCCCATAAGCTTGATCTTTCTTTCAGCTTTAGCTCTCTTGGGTTCTGAATGAAAGAAACCAATCAAGGTCTCAATGTCAAGCAGAATTCTAGAGCTGTCCTGACTTAGAAGTGGAGTTGGTTTTGTCATAGGCAGTTCTGTCCTTCCCTTCCTTCAGGCTCTGAGCTCACTAAGAGAAGCTTAACCTCAAAAGGTTTGTCTGACTCTGGAAATCAGCCAAATATTTTGTCAGTAGCCAGGTTTGTTTTCCAAGGGAGGAGATTGCTGGAGTAGAAAAGTGTCTTCCTTCAGAAAATGAAAGTCAGTGTGTCCTGCTTTCATTGTAACACTGTGGTGGGATTTCTGCTGAGTCCACACCCCTGTGTGAGATCTTAGTGCTGAGAAATCTTCTTGTGACTAAAAGTTAGCCCAGTTGCCTTCCTCAGTCTCTGAATTGAAGTGCAGAGAACTTTGATGCTGTAAACTTCAATTAGCTGTATTTTATAGGCTAACACATCACTGAAGCAGAGTTCAGCACTAAACTGTTCTTACATTTCCTTTTCTCAGGCAGAAATGTTGTTTAACTGCAGATTGTGGAGATGCAGGATAGCTGTAGAGCCTGAAACTTTGGTGTAACTGCTCTAGGCAGAAAACTGTGCTGTAATAATTAGAGAACATCACTATTTCCTGCCACATCAGGAGCTTCCTATGCTGCTTCCACTTTTCACATTCAAAAGCTTCTTCTCCTGAAGGACTCTTCATCCCTGTACTGCAAGTGACTTAATCCCAAGAGCACACAGATGTTTGTTGCCTGTGTTGTTGAGGGCTAGGTGCTGTTCCATCTGATTTTATTGTGCACTTCTCTGAAACTGAGCTGAATACATGAATGTTTTGTTGAATATTTAATTGCTTGGTGATAGGAGATACCCTGAATGCTTTAACAAAGTAATTAAGTTGCATTTTCCGTTGTGCACATCGTGGTGTTAATTAGGTCAGTATTACACCATCAAATATGATTTTAATCACAGAATATGCAAATAATTGTCTTTAGTAATGCATTGTGCTTAGTGAGAGAGCTCTTAAACTCAATGTAATTGCAATATTTTATTCTCTACCTAATAGGGACCTGATCTTCATTTGGAGTAAACTGCAGCTGAAATCTAACCCATCCAAACAAGTATTTGTGGACCAGTGCTACCAGCTTCTAAGAATTGCTACAAATGTCAGAGTAATTTTCCCTTTCATGAAAGTCATTAAGGATGAAGTAAGTTGTGTTTGTTTTTACCTCATCCACCATTCTTTCTGTGACCAGTTAAAGTAAAGAGAAGTGATGTTTATATTGTGTAATGACCATTTTTGGTGGAAAGTTAAAAAAGAGGGGTTAGGGAAGGACATAATATGATCTTTAAAATTTTGTCAGTTTCCAGGATGGGCTTCAATATTATGATTGCTTGTGTGGTTTTAAGATTTTTTTTTACTGAATTCTGAGTTTTTCTGTTTCTGCAGCAATATTTACTCTGAGGAGTAAGTCCATGGAATAAATGTGAATGATTGGGGTTGGGTTTTTTTTTTTCAGCCTGACCTCTTAAGGAAATAGGATCTGTGTAATTGTATGTACCCTTCATTCTTGTTAAATTCTGAATCCTTTTACCAATTCTAATCATAACTGGAAAAGAGTCTTAGTACAACATAAAGGAAAAGGAAGAATAATACAGGAAAAGACATAATTTTGGCTGATGAGGTAGATGCTTATTCTGAACAAGACAAAATTTGTAGCAAATCAACAGAAAGGTTTAGATGTGGCACATTTTCCTTCAGAAAATTGTGCTGTATTTCATGCTTCAGATCTCAGTCTTGTTCTGCCCCATCTGCAAAAGATGTCACATGCAGTATTTTGCACACAGGCCTGAGAGTTGTTTCCCAACAAATGTTATTTATTGTTCTTCATGTTCTTCATTGACCTGACTTAACAGAGCTCCTTAATATTTTGTGTTCTAAATGAATTCTAAATTATTTTGTCAGATTTAAATGCAATAATTTGTTGCTGTTCAAGAGGTATGTACTCTAAAGCGCTTGTGGTGACATAATTCTATTTGCATCTGAATAGTCTTATTTTTTTACTAATCACCTACTTATGGAGCATTGGCTGTATTTGTTAAAACCCAAATATAGGACATCCTAATTATTTCTCAGTTTCCTGTACCTTTTTTACCTTTAATCTGCTGCCTGTTGGGCAGAGTATTTCTGACTGCTCCTCTGAGTTCCATGTTCATGACAGGGCCCCCAGCTTGAAGTGTGGAATAGTTCTGCTCATTGGAAGGAAGGTACATCAGTTTTGGAAAATGAAGCCTTTTAGACTTCTTGGCCGTGGGTTGTTACGGTTCTTTCCTCTGAGTTCCATGTTCATGACAGGGCTCCCAGCTTGAAGTGTGGAATTAGGAGTTCTGCTTATTGGAAGGAAGGTACATCAGTTTCGGAAAATGAAGCCTTTTAGACTTCTTGGCCACTGCTTGACCATCTACTGTAATTCAGAAGCACTTGAGGCTCACCTTGCACAAAAGAAGTGTCAGACGCTCTTTGGATTCGATTCAGATGATGAAAGTAAGTCCTGCAGTCCTTCCATGCTGATTTCTCTGGCAGTCAGTAGCAATCAGAAAATGGCCTTTGCAAACAGGAGTAGATGAGACACACTAACTAAATCACAGTACTCTGCTAAATTGGAAGTTGAAATTGGACATGCTGTTCAGAATAAGAAAGAGGTGGTGAGAATTTGTAGGCAAACGAATGGAAAAGACTTCTGATAAAACAGAATGGGGTAATTGAATCAATCTGTCTTGCCTTGCATGTTTGAAACTTAACGTGGTAAAAAAACATATGCAGTGTTCTAGAGCAAGGAATGATTTACATTCTGATCTTTTGTCTTTTATAGGTGCCTGATTCAATGTTGTGGAAAAGTATCAGATGAGGAGTGGTGTAAGGAAACACTACATGAAGCAGCATCAGTTTGTTTCCCAGTTGGCCTTAATCATGAAGCAGTCTCAAATTCCTATAGAAAAACATGACCTTGATAAAGACAAAGCACATTTTCTAGACAAAACTCACAAAGGAGTAATAGGAGCTCTGCAGGTCTTCAGAAAAGTTGCTACAAAACCTCCAAAGTACCAGTTATCCAAAAAAGCCATGTTCATTCCAAATGTATGATTGAAGCTTAATGGCACAGCTTTTCTAGCATGAAGGTTGAAGGATGGTGAGGCATAGAGGGGACAGGCGGAGGAAGTAGAGGTGTTCATTGCCTTGTGGAAATCCAACCAGCCAGTTCTGCAAGCTGCTGTAGTTTGTGTGGTTAATGGGTACCTGTCCACACAGCTGAGAAGGAATCATTCAAGGAGGTGTTATGTTTTTACCTTATGGATAAATGCATAAAGAAACCATGCATTTTTAATTATTTTTTTAAAAGTCTGAGTATGTGAGTCCATTATCTGCTCAAAAGCATGGAGCTTGTTTCGTAAACTTCTACTCAGAATCCAAAGAGGAATGTGGAAGGAAATCTTGAGCTAGATGGGATGCTGGAATAGCCAAAAACTTGAAATACAGAACAAGCAGGGAAAAGAGAGTTGATGTGCTATTTTGTGAGACTTGCACACGGTGGCAATCAGATGCGTGCAAGAGAAGCCCTTTGCAAGGCTGAGGTAAAAGTGACTCCTGTAAAACATCTGCTGTAGGTGTGGGAAGACCAACACAAGTGCTAGATTGTGTGGATATTAACAGCAGCTGATGGAAGCAAGTCTGGAATGTTGGGAGGGCTAAGCTTGCAGAGTTAAACTAATATTCTGCAAGCACAGAGGTCCCTCAGCTGTTGGTAGGACAGACAAGAGCTTGAGAAGGCAAACAGAAGCAGAGCACATCAGGTTGGGGTGAACAAAAGGGTCAGGAAGAACCTGTTTCACATCTGTTATGTTGCTTAATGGTGGTGGGCCACAACTCAGTACTGTCACAATTATTCACTGTCTAGAAGGGAGAAAACAGAGATTCTCTCAATCCTCAAGACACACTGCAATCCTATTTCATAGCATCCCTTGAAAGGAGAGCTTTTCCCAGAGGCAGGTGAAGGAGTTACTGAAATGTTAAGCACTTTATTCACAATTCACTGTTCACAGAAACAATCACAATGTGAAGACAGGAAATAGTTGTTCTTCAATTCTGTATGGAAAAATGAAATACAGAAGATTTTGAAACCAAAAAGATGCCATTGTAATTTTTGGTCTTCCTACCCTAAGGCAGAGGTGTGGCAAACATGCACATTGTCCAATTACTGTGCAAATTTATCCTCTAATTCGTCTCACACTGTCTTGCCACATCATATTTTTTTTAATTTGGGATCCCGTTCTATGGAAATCGTAGTGGGATTGCAGGCAGGGGAGGCACAGGGGTGAAGACTGATGTTCAGTTATTCCAGAAATGCAGGACAGCCCAGAGCAACTGTTCCTGCTCAGCTGTCCCCGAAGAGTTTGTCACAGTGTGTGCAGGGCTTAAATCAACAGGTGGGTGAAAGTTAATGAGTAAAAAATCAGGGGGTGCATAAAACCCCCGTTCATTGTAGCAGTGGCTCACTCTTGGAAACCCAAGGGTTTCTCTGTAGGACTGGCTGTGAAGTAGTTCTGGAACAAACTCAGTAGTTCAGTAATGCCTCTGCTAATAATCCTCTGTAGAACTAAACAGACATTTGCATTAATTCTGCTTTCTTTCCCCTTCCTGCAAGGAAAAAGAATGCAAATTCAAAATCATGCTCTTGAGTTCTAGAAGAGTTTTGCCTTAACTTTGAGTTGGATTAACATAAAAGGTTATAAAATTATGATCACAGGTATGTGTGCATTACATGAATCCCAGTTATGGCCCACTTCCAGAGATTTGTATCATGTTCAAGGCACCAAAGAATTTTTTTTGCAGTTGCAAAAAACCTGATTTAAATGCATCATTCATTATATATACATATATACACACAATATATATATTTACATGTATAAATACATTAAAAAGTTTTAAACATAAAGTTAATGGGGTCCTTATCAGACAAATGCACTTTCACATTTTTTACTTTAAGATACCAACTAATTTTTAAGGACCCGGGTACTGCGTTGAATGTTCCAAGGCTCTCCCTTCTTTGCTCGAGATTGCTTAAATATATTTGGGAAAAGTAGAGAAAAGGTTAATTTTAAAGTATTACAGTTCTGAAAATCTAAAAAGTGAGTAAACAAAGATACAACAAAGATGATTGTGTAAAATCTTTTTAATGTACCTTTTAATCTTTGGTGCTTTTTTTCCTTTTCCCTGGAGCTCCATATGTTTGAAGATGCTTTAAAATCATGATTGAGACTTGTATTATCTTTGGTTTAAGTGTGTAGATAAATGCATCTGTGTACATGCATAAACTGTGACCATAATTTTTTGTACCTGCATTAAAATAATTTTTGTTCCAAGATGCTTTTCTGGGACACCACCATTTGTTTCTCTCATGTATTCAGTGTGTACACTCTGGAGAATAGGAAAAATGAATTCTTACATAGGTGAAGATGAGCATCACCTAACAATTATCAGGAATCTGTTAAATTGACTTAAAGTAGCAAGTGGGTGGTAACATTTTAAAATAATTATTTTTACTTCATAAGACATTGCATTTTCTTTAAGCTACTCTCTGATACCTGTTGGTATTCTCAGATAGTTGCAGTATTAAGCAACTTTAATCACAGGTAAAAAGATACTTGGATCATGTGTGGAATAATTCTAATCACGTGTGGAATAATTCTCCGTGCTTTTTAAGGATTCTTTATTATTTTGAGTAATACCCCATACAAAGCCTGCAACTTGTAAGGCTGAAAATAGTTTACAAGTCTTAAAAGTTGGAGATTTTTCGTTTGTTTTCTTTTTTTTTTTCCCCAGACATTAAGCATTGTGTGATAGAATTGGAAGCCCTTGAAGATGTATCACTTTGATTCAATAAATCCTGAAGTACATGTGTAATATAAGCCTCCAGCCTTCCTTAAAGCTGCCTGAAGTTATCCATGAGCTTAGGAGCCTTGTTGGATCAAAGTTGGTGCAATTCAATGCTCATAATTGTATTTAATAACATTCCTCCAGTTGGATTTGGACTTTCCTTTTAAGAATGTCTCCTCTAACCTCATCATGTTTCACTGTAGAGGTCATGGAATTTCTAATTTCAAAAAGCTGCAGCTCGGTGTAGGCACCTTTCACAAAAAAAAAAAAAAGAATACTGAAAGTAGGTTTCAAGTGGTCATATCTGTGGGACAAGGTCACTGGTACTTTGGTTATTTAGCCATATTCATAAAAATTATATGAATTGTATAGTTTGGATAATTTATAACATTAAACTTTGTGATTTTAATATCACATGGAAGGTTCAGCTGTACTCATTTCTTTTATTGTTTAACACCAGTGCTATGGACAAAAGACCCAAAGGGGGTGGTAGTGTTACTATTTTCTTAATTTATTTGGTACTGTATAACACCTTTCTGATTAAATGCAGTGTATGCATTTTGGGACTCTTAATTTGTAAAAGCTGTTACAGGTTCAGCAAGAAAGGAAATTTGTGCTTCCTTGTTGAATGTTAAATTATTTTACTTTGCATTTTATATAAGAGTACAAATTAAAACTGAGCCATCAAACTGCAATAAATCTACAGTAGTGTTTCATTTTAAAGACCTTTTGTACTGTACATAGATTTGTTCAATAAAACATTGTCTTTGTTGTTGATAGAAACTGATCTTGTCTTTTGGAGAATCACTCTGGAAATGCTGCTGTGATGTTCAGAGCTACTGTGTTATGTTTGGTACATGATGGTTGAGTGGCACCTGTGTGAAGATGCCAGGTCTTGATGTTCCAGGTGTGTGGGTATTTGGATTTGGACAGACCAAGCTTCAAAATGGAGGCAGCAGTTAATTCCTAGGGCTCAAAATCCAGATTTGGGGCCACAGACAAGAAGGGGTGCAGCTGTTTTAAGAGACCTCTGCTTCTGGTTGGTGGGTTCAGACAGAAAGACAGTGTAGCTGCTTTTTTCTTTTGCTTCAGAAAGTTCAATACTGCCCCCTGAAATTACTGGAGAATTTAGATTTATTTACAGCCCCGTAAATTATTAGGTTTTTTTGACTGCAGATTTTTGACTGTCTTCTGGAAAATTTTGGATGGTGACTTTTTTTTGTGTGTGTGACTTCAAACTTACCTTTGTTTTCTGCTGTGGATGATTTTGACAAGGTCCTTACCTGAGGAAGGTAAGTGTGAGTGTAAGGGTAAGGGACCTCAGGTACATTTTGCCAGCAAGAATATTTATCAAAATGGCAATGTGTACATAAGCCATTTAATAAATTAATTGTTAAATATATTAACACCAAATATAAACTTTGCCCCTCCTCAGATGAACAGGAGACAGAAAATACAACAAAAGCCCTTGTAGTAACTCCTTGAATTACGACAGCAATTTATTGTTACAAGAGTTCTGTTCACCTTTTGGTTTATATAGGCTAAAAATTTTCCTGTTCCTTCCCCTTTGGGAATGCCAGTTCCTGCTCAATGCTCAAGTCAATTACAAGTTTGAATAAAAACTCTAAAGGGATTTTTGAGTTATGAGAAAGAAAAAAATGAAATCTACTTCTGAGATTATCCCTTTTCCACCCCCATCACCTCCAACGGGGAAATATTTACAAAGTAAGATAATATGTAAATATATTATAAACAATCCTGCTGAAAGGGCTGGTCTTGGTTTAGAACAGGAAAGGGGCTGTCGGGAGACATCAGTCCTGAATATTGAAAAGTCTCTGCAACCTCTGATGCCAGTGCACTTTTCCTGTCTAAGGATTAATGGGAATGTGGCTATTCCAAGGCAACCTCTCCTTGCCTTCCCCTCCCACCCTCTGATTTCTTACTGAAAACACAGCACACAATCTAATTTTTAAAATGGCATGTTGATGGTTGTTTGTTTTTCCCCCTGAATTCCAGAAGAATTGGATAGGTATTACTCCTTGAAGGCTGCAAATAAAGGATTATTGAAACGTAAGCAAAATGAAGGTAATTTATATTTATCACATGCATTGTCTAATTTGTAGTTTGCAGGATTGATACTCATCAAGAATATTAAATCATTGTGCATGTGAGGGGAAGTTTGGCACAGCAGACAATAAGCATTATTATGTTAAAGCTTTCCAGATGCTTCCAGACTGAGTTTTTATCAGAATGTTGAACTTAAAATTCATGGGCAAATTTTGTTCAGCTGTTTCTGGCTCACACAGAATTCATTGCTGCAGCTCAAGAGAACAGCTCTTACTCAGCTCAGTGTGTGTTGCTTTTCCCTCTGACCAGCCTGGGACATCTGCATGGAATGTTTTTAGATCTCAAAGAGGAAACAATAATCTAAAATACAGGGATAAGGAGTGTGTCCTCTGTTCTTGTGTTCTGTTGCAGGTTTACTGGGTCTTGAGGGCAGGCATTCCTTACTGCACCTCTGAACAGAGCCCACCGTAATGATGAATTTGTGCAAAAGCATCATCAGTAATTTGAATGTGGTTCTTTTGCGTGTTTTTACAGGATCTGGGTGTTCCTGGGTTTGAAATCACAGGCAGCTTTAGCACAAAAAGGTGGTCTCTTTACACATCCATATTTAAGCATGGGGTGGAGGAGAGTTGGCTTTTTCTGCCACAGAGAGGTCAAGCACTCTTTGCACCTTTACTTTTCTTGGCATGTAGATTTTGATGCTTAGCTCAGTGGAAGCTTCTGCTGTCTTCTATTCCCTCTTTTGTTAATCTTTTATCTTTCTTATGAAGTATCCATCACTGGTTGCTCTGCCCTGACAGAAAATAGTGCCAAGTGGAAGAGCAATACAAGGTTGAGAGCTTGCATTTAGTAAAAAAAAAAAAAAAGGTGTCTTCAGCTTATAGGGCTTTGTTTCCTTAAACAGGTGCTGCTGTTGGATTTCCCAGTCCTGTGGAGATGCATCACTTGGGAACATGCAGTTCTTGCCTTGGGCACGAGGGATGACTGGCTTGGTCCAGATGAGGTGCCCAGTGGTAGGAATCACAGAATGACATCCTCTGTGAGGAATCTGAGAATATCCTGATCTGGATGGGACCCCAAGGACCACCAAGTCCAGCTCCTGGCTGTGCACAGGACCCCAAGAGTCACACCCTGTGCTAAGAGCATCATCAAGACGCTGCTTGAGCTCTGCCAGTCTGGTGCTGGGGAGAAGAATATCTTTTTCTAATATCCAGCCTAAACCTTCCCTGCCACTTCAGGTCATTCCCTTGGGTCCTCTCACTGTCACCAGAGAGAGATCAGTGTCTGTCCCTCCTCTTCCCCTCACAAGGACGTTGTGACTGCAGTGAGCCTTCCACTTGTCCAGCTGAAGAGACCAAGCCCTCCTCACACAGCTTCTCAAGGCCCTTCCACATCAACACTCTCTAATGGCTTTATAACATTCTGATGGCGTGGTGCCCAGAGCTGCCCCAGGACTGGAGGTGAGGCCGCCCCAGAGCAGAGCAGGACAATCTCCTGGCTGTCCAAGCTGTCCCTGATGTCCCCAGGACAATCCCCTGCCTGTCCCCGATGTCCCCAGGACCGGGATGTCACCCCTGACTCCAGGGCCGGTTCCCATCCCTTTCCACGCTGCTGCTCTCCAGCATCTCCCCAGAGCTCAGCACGCCTTCAGGGCGGGCTGGGCGGTTCGGACAGCCTCAGTTATGAACCCTCCATAGGTACAACACACAATCTGCACATTTAATCCCGCCTCCCCGCCGCGTCGCTCCCCCTGTGCCGCTCCTCCGTGCGGAACCTCGGTGCCGGCCGCCTTTTCCAGCCGGCGCTCGGCGCTGCAGCGGGCGCGGCCATGGCGGGCCCGGGGCTGAGCGAGCGGGAGCGGGCGGGCTGCCGGGCCCTGCTGGAGCTCCTGCACACCGAGGAGCTGCTGGCGCTCACCGACACCGTCACCAACCGCCTGGTGCACCCGGAGAGCCGCCAAGGTGCGCGGGCAGCCCTCGGGGCCTGCCCAGCGGGGCCGGGCCCTGCCTTCGCTTCCCCGGGCCCGGGGCTCGCAGGGCTCGGGGTCGCTGCCGGAGCCTTCTCCGCACAGCCCAGCAGCTCCGGGGGTCGCTGCTCCGGGGGGTTTGGGGTGTCCGGGCCCAGGAGGGTGCGGTGGCGACGGGCTGGTAGCAAAGGTTCAGCTCCGCACGCAGCTCTGCTCTCAGAGCCGGCAGTGAGCGGCCAGCACGGCCGTGCCCTCAGTGGGTAAAAGTATTGAAATCAAGAGTCTCTCCCTGTTGGTGTCAGTCACATTTTTTTTTCAGGTTTTGAAAGGGTAAAATTTGAATCTGCATTGAACTTCCTTTTTCGGCAGCATGCTTCCAGTTGTGCCCGTCCTCCATCACTTTGTTGAGATTTGTTTCATAAGAGTTCATTTTTTGTGTGAGGCCATTAGGTTTTTTGCCCAGTTGCCTCAGGTGTGTATATATATATATATATATGTATGTATATATATGTGCATATTTATATGTATATACATCTCTATATATATACACACACCTATATATATATGTGTGTGTATATACATCTGTATATATATATACACACCCCTATATATATATATATATATATATATGTTCGTCCCAAAGCCTTGAGTATGTTTCATGTGATGTAACTAAAACCTATAAGATTTGCCCAACACATTTCTTTAAAAGGTCTTTGCCTGTAGTGTTTTTTTTCCCCCTTACTTTTTCCCCCTACTTTTTGCAGTGGTTGTAAGTTAAATGGAAAGATTTTTGTGTTTTATTTTAGCACTTTCTTTCTGGTTAGATTTAGGGTTTTTATAGGTCCTGTGTTAAGTGCTAGCCTCCGTTCAGGTGGGAACTGTGTGCTACAAGTGCTTTAAAAGAGAATTTAAGTTTGTCATGTTTCCTCGGTCTGCCGCAGAGCCTTGTAGCTGCATTTTGTTTATTGCTGCCGTTCAATGCACTGTTGTTGTGCTAGGATGCATTTTCTTATGAACATGGGAGTTGTAATTTCCATACACTGGTGTGGAAATAAAATAGATTGAGTTCCATTTCCAGCAGGCTTCAGGAAGGGGGAAGGAGGTGGAACCTCACTTTCTCAGACTACTGTGCATTGCTGAAACACTTCACTGGAATTCTTGCCCAAGAAGCATATTTGCAAGCTTTTGGGTGTATTCTCTGTCTGATATGATGAGGCCAGATTTCCGTTTACAAACTTGCAGTCTCTTCATGTCCTGCCACCTTGTCTTGCTGTGTTTGGAGGTCAGGAGTTTGGGATTTTATTGTGAAAGAAGATAACTCTAACGTCAATTTCTTTCTTTGCAGAGGCCATTCATGCCATTCTGGTGTACAGCCAAAACGTGGAGGAGCTTCTGAGGCGCAGGAAAGTCTGCAGAGAAATCATCTTCAAGTACTTGGCGGCGCAGGGAATCGCAGTGCCTCCTTCCTCGGAGAAGCACGTGCTGATCGAGCGGGTGAGACAGCTCTGGAGCGGGCAGCTCACGCCCCACGCCCCGGAGGCAGGGCACAGAAAACCTCCTGCACCGGTGAGTGAGTGCTGCTGGAAATCCTCAGGCTGCTCAGCGCTGCCTCCACAGGATGAGCAGTGCAGGTGTGCACCTGTAGGAAGGTCCCAAACCTTTTTAACTCTTAGTCGGTTTAGTTTGGTTAGTTTTTAAATTACAACATATGAAGGTGTCTGCTCTGTTTGCCACAGTGTTTGAGCTCTAATGTG